TTGAGTGTTTGACTTTGCAACCTTGGTAACGTTCTTTTACCAAGTGCATGGAGCATGCGATATGCAATTAGTAAATTATATTGCAGTAGTGCCAATGGTCCCTATAAGGCTTGGGGCCTCGTGCTAGGCGCTGTACAGAAACATCAGCTAGCCCTTGCCCTGCAGAGCTTACATGTCAATTACTTTTTGTGCCTCACTCCCTAGGATGAGCATTCCAGAACAGTGCAGGGGATTTAGTCCCACATCTTCCATTAAAATGCATGTCACATATGTGGCTAAACATGCGGCAGTTCTTTGGAAATCTCTCCCTAGCTTGCTTTCTTAAAGGAAAGCAGCTAGAATTTGGCCAAGACACCATGATCAAAATTCCTGTTCTGACAAAACGTGCAATGGGATGTTTGACTGCAGCCGGCCAAGATCTTATTGTAAGTCTTCTCTGCAAGACGATGCCCTCTGATGTAATGGCGGGCATTCGTTCGGGAGGAGGAGCACCACTTACTGATTCACCAACAGTACCCCCTACACCACTACGGATTTCCCTGGTCAATCGCCCATCCAAGCACTGTCCTGATCCAGTCTTACCTGACCTCTAAGGCTACCGGTAAAAGCAAAGTAGCTACATGAGTTAGAAGAGTAGTGTTACCTGAAATGTAGAGGATTCCCTTGTGGGTGGTACCTGCGTGATCGGCCACTGGCACTGGAAAGGGAGCAGCGTGCTCCCACTTGTTCTCTGCAGGCTGGTATGTTTCCATGGTGTTGGTGAGCTTCCCCAGCAGTGTCCCACCACCCACAGCCAGGATGCGATCGGACAGCACATCCGTGTGGAAGCGTGTTCGCCTCTCCAGCATGCTGGAGACCTGGAGCCACGACTTGTCGCGGGGATCAAAGCGGAACACCTAGGATCACAGTAGAGGGAATAGTGGTCACTGAGCAAGGCAGTGGGAGATCCTCCAACAGGCATGGCTTTAAGAACTGTTATGCCCTGCAGTCACGGGGTGTGTCTGCAACTGTGTAGATGTACCTGATCTAGCTTTAATCGGCCTAGCCTGGGTACCAGAGCAGTGAAGCTGCAGCTTCATGGGCTTTAGAGTGGGTTGTACAAGACTGCCTAGAGCCCTGGCTAATTACGGGGGGAGCTGCCCCATGCCTAAGCCTGTGTTGCCACAGCTTCATGGCTCCCACACTCAAGCTGGCTAGATTAGAAGGAGCACAGAACGTCTACATGTGCTGCAGTCACACCCCGAGGTTCCAGGGTAGCCCCCTGTCAGCTGCGAGGGCTAATACATTCCAGCCTCAATGGTTCCTTTAAATGGCACTTCGTGTGCCCCATATCTAAACACACCTGCATGGCTTTGTCTGCGCATAGGGATGAAATGCTATAAAGCTTTGCTAAGATCTGTGCAATGCCCCCTCCACAAAGTTACATCTCAGGCCACAGCGAAAGCCACGTGTGTTTCTTGAGCCATTCATTTAAACAGGGCAAGTGATAGGAACCTGGTACAAGGCTCTGTGCTGTAGCATGACAGAGATGAGCTGTCTAGGGAATCCCACCTGACCCCTGGGGAAACTACCACAGCGAGGGCTGTCAGAATAAGGCTTCCAGCTGGAAACCCGTGTTATCCGCCTTACTGGACAGAATTTGGCTTGATCTTGGGTAAAGTTATACAGCAGCCAGGCTGGCATGTTAATTCGCATCTAGCTGTTAGCAGAGAGTGGCTTCAGCAGAGAGTTATCATCACCCTCTGTCCTCTTGCTACCAACTGACCAGCGCTGCGTCCCAGCCTGGTCTGAGGCTTCCCATCTCCTGGGGAGAGGTGACCCTTTTGGGTGGTGTTGAAGGGACTAGACCAGAAGAGATCCCGGCACGCTGGCTCAGTGCTGGTAGCACTCTGCTGCTTCCTGCAGCCTCCCTAACCCCTTCCTGTTAACTCTGCTTGGGGGACAGAGTTTGCTAGAAACCCCGGGGGGGGGGGGGCAACCAGTTTGGGCTCTAAGCACAAAGTGACAGTTAGCAAGTGGGGCGCTCACCTGGGCTAACATTCTCTAGCTAACCCCCCCAAACAATGGTGTCTTACTCCCTAGGCAGGGGGAAGACATTGGAGCTGGGGCACGTGGTGGGGGGAGGGGTATTTGCCCTACATGGGCAAGAGAAACAGTTTTTTTTTGTTTTTAAAGGAGAGTCAAACTAACTCTTGCCATTGCTAGTGCAATTCTTGTGGCGGGGGGAGGGTCTGAATACGATCCCGTTTCAGTGGCACTGGGTTAGGCAGCCGAGGTCAAAGGCCATGAGGATTGATGGATGTGGGCCGGTGTTCTACTACTTCAGGTATTTGAGGTTGGCCTGGTTTGGGGCTGGCGTACAAGGGTTTCTGATGCGATCCACGGACGTGGAATATGCTAAACAGAGAGGGAGAGTTTGACTGGGCTAACTTGTCTCCTAAAGGACATGGTGGGAGCCCTGTCGCCAGAGGGATTTTAAAACTGGGCAGAGCACTAGGAAATAGCGTGTAGGAGCAGTCCTGCCCTGGCCAGCCTGGAGGAGATGACTCCGTTCCGATCTCAAACACTACTCCTCTTGTACCTCTCCAGGAGAGTGATGAGTGATTCAACACGGTCATTACTCTACAGCCATCCTGAGCAGTGCTGTGAACTGGAGGGAGACATTCTCGTGCCAGGCAGCTCTTTTTAAATGAAAATCTCTCTACAGGGCCATTTGTCTCTGCCGTGTTCAAAGCCAGCGCTTTCCAATGAACATTAGACAGCTAAATAAAGGGTCTGATTTTTTTTTCCAGTTACGCAGAACACCTGAAACACCCGCTGACTTCAGGGGGAGTTGTGAAAGCTCAGCGCCTCTGAACATTGACTTTAGGTACCTAGTGGGGAAATTAGCCTTACCTCACCTGAGCCTTTGTATGTACAGAACTCCAGTCCCAGTATTCCCTTTGACTACTTGATTCCCTCTAACCTAAAGCTCCTTAAGCACCGTACCTCGTTTGAAGGCTGTTTCCCTGCAGGATCAAATCTGGATTGACCGCCGATGACAAAGAGGAAGTTATTGATCACAGCTACACAGTGGTTGTAGACAGGTGTAGCGAGTTCACCTATCTTTCTCCATGCACTGCAGCTCTCATCCACAACCCACATGTCTCTGCAGATTCTGTTGTCTGTGGTTCTGCCACCAAGAACGAGCAGCATAGAGGAGCTGGAGCGGATGCTTGTGTGTTGGGTCTGCAGGGCTGGCTGAGCATACAGCTGGGAGTGGTAGCTTAGAGCCTCCTGGAGGTACCTATGGCACTCCGAGTCTGTCCTCATAATGGGGGTTTCCTGCACATATCTCTGCAGATCCTGTAGAGGAATGAGAGGAAACCGGATTCGCTTTAAAATATCTGCCGCTCCTTTCAGCCTCACGCTGTCATGCAGCAGCCAGCTTATGGCCGCGTTGAACAGCTCCAGCTCAGTGCACCCAGCCATGTCTGTCTTGTCTAAGATTTCACACAGGGTCTCTCTGTCCAGCTGCTTCATGCACTGAGGATCAGTCAGTATCTGTTTGTAGTGCTGCCCTACGTAGTTCATGGCTTTCTGTCTCAACTCTTCTGGCCCAAGCCTCCGAGCGATGTTGAGTGTGTCCAGGCAGTTCTTGTGATTCAGGCCGTCCTCCAGAAACTGAAAGCACAGCTTGATCACTTCCCGGACGAGCAAGGTTTCTGCCGCCTTGAACGTCTCTTCGACGTTCTGTAGGGAGAGGTCCAGTTTGTTGGAGTAAATGAAGTTGAGAACATTCCTCAGTCCCCCAGCGCTGATGGCTTTCAGCTGCACATTCGCATCGGGGCTCCCGGCACGTGTCGCGTTTCCAACAAACAGGATCTTGCAATAATTGCTCGCTGAAGCCAAAATGATCTTGTGCGCTGGAAAGCGAACCCCACCTGCCTCCAGCGTTACATCACACAGCGCGTTTTGTGAGCGGAGGCTGCATGCTCCGGCCAGGAGTTTAGCCAGGTACGTGTCCGATGTGAGAGAGAGGCTCTGAGTGCTGAGCGACATCCCTCTGAAAGCTGCCTTGTGAGCAGGAGGGGCGAGGAATTCTCTGCAGGTGTCTATAGGGAGTGACTCCTGCCCCCCATGTAGGGGTTTTCAGTGGAGCCTTCAGTCCTACTTCTGGGGGAGCTGTGTCTGTCGGACTCTCCAGAATCCAGTCGGCAGAGGAGACCAAGCCACGGCTAGCAGTACTATTGCTGGTATTGGTCTGTAGCGTGTTCCTTTTGGGCTACTCTCTGAGCCGGTCATTTGAGTGGCAGGCAGCAAACAGTCCTTCCTTCTCTTCTCTATCTGCTAATTATTCATCCACACAAAGGCGCCCAGTCTCCTCCAGCTCCCATGCTACGCCTGATTGGCTTGTATTGGCCAGGTACTTGTTTTTCATCTGGGCAAGTCTGGGCACGTCACCCTCCCTTTTTCCATCCATGATCAAACAAAATTCTTTCTTTGCAGGGCTGGCATTGGCCAGTTTGCTTAAGTTGCTGTCTTGAAGCTGCAGTACATTCACCCTGGGGGGTGGACAGCCACTAACCTTGTGCAGTTTGAGAATTCGGTTCAGGATAGTTTGTGTGAGACTCTACTACAGCTGAAGTGCGTTAGTCTGAGACTCACGCAGGGCAGAGACCAGATTTGGAATGAGATGGGAGAGCCAACGAGGCAAAAAGACCCAGGGGGCCTGTTCCAGATGCTGGGTGTTGCAGAGTGGAAGGCTCTCTCACAGCCAGCAAAGAGATGGTGATGGTTTTGCTGATCTAACGACTAGGCAGATGGAGAGCTGTGATCTTTACTACAGCCTAGCTCAGAATGGCACACAGCCTTCTAGATCTATTACCCTGTCCACACCCCCTGATCTCCTTATGTCTTCTCTGGCTGGTCTCCCAGCTTGAGTTCTTTGGGGTTGCTCTGGGTAGCGCAGCCATTGAGCTGTTGACAGCCCCGCTTAACTCTGTCTTTCTGCTTGGCAGGAGTGTTCTACAACTCGACTAAGATGGTGCCGTGTTATGACATATACGAACAGTTCAGAAAATGTTCTGACCCGACTGGCTGTGGCCTCGGCCCAGATGCCGAGGCGTGGGACTATCAGGTACGCGGCTCAGAGGAATCAGTGGACTTTAATACAGATCCTCCCCCTTTCCATCTTGACGGTTCCCGTTTCCATCACAGGCTTGTACCGAGATCAACTTAACCTGCAGCAGCAACAACGTGACCGACTTTTTCCCCGAACTCCCGTTCACCGAGGCCATGAGACAGCAGTACTGCTTCAACAAATGGCTCGTGCACCCGCAAAGGGACTGGTTGCAAACAATGTTTTGGGGCAGCGGTAAGCTGCATGTTGCTGTTTATTCCTTTGCATCATTTGTGTATTTCCCCACCATGGTCCCTGCATTCTGGTCTGGATACCTTGATAACATTAAGGGGAAGGGCTTGCTCAATTATAATGAATATACACACAGATTACAGGTGGCAAGTGATTCGTACAGTTGCAGCTGTTCTTATTTATTTAAGGACTGCAGTCAAATCAACTAGCCTCTCCTCCCGTTTCCCTAACGCTCCCCCACTGCAACTCCCCTCTAGGACCAACTGTGCCCTACCCTCTCTCCTGCCCCTACCCTCTCTCCTGCCCCAACCCCAACATTTTGCTGTCTTTTCCCAGCTCCTCCCTTGACTCTGCCTCCTCCCTCCCTGTTGATTCTTGCACCAAAAAAGCAGACTAGCACCAGTAAAGCATGGAGGCAGGTCATGCTTGGGGTGGAGCTGGAGCTGGACAGGAATGGCTTCTTTCTGGAAGAGTGAGCAGCAATCTCCTCCTGGCACAGCTTCCTTTCCACCTCCCGCTCTGAGCATCTGCTCGTCATGCACATGTTGTTAGAGGGGAGGTGGTGGCAAAGTCCAGGAGAAGCCTGGCTTTCTGTAATCAGCCCACACTGTACTTCACTTAAACAAGTGGAAAACCAAAGTGACTGCCAAGAATTTTTTAAATTTTCCACTGTCATTTGCACACTCTGAAGCAGCTAAACAGGAGCGTAAAGAGGCCCCTCAGATATGATCTGTGTGAATTTCAGACCTGAAAGCTGCAAGCAACATCATATTTTCAAATGGAGACTTGGATCCATGGGCAGGCGGTGGCGTAAGTATCTGCATCGCTATGGGCTGAGCACAGGTGTGAGATAGATACCCCAGTTGTTAGCCTGGCTGACCTCACCCTTTCTGTCTAGTGTTAACAGACCACCTTAGGCTGCTCCATGGAAATGCTGAATGGCTACAGAGCAGGCAGCAGTTGCTCATGTCCCTCCTGTTAAAGGGGTATTTTTGCTCTGCTAAACTATTTGGCAGCCCCAGAACACTTGTGGCAAATGGTAAGTTCGTCTATCAGGGAGGCTGCTTCTTTCTGCCAAAGAGGGGATTTGATTTTTTGGCTTTGCTGCAGCAAAGACCACTTCATTTTAGACATAACCGCTCTTTGCACTAGCTTCTGCTGGTTCAGAATTTGGGGAAATACCCACAGCTAGTTCTACTTCTTTTGCACCCCTCCCTCCAGCTCCGGCTGCTGTTGGAAACCAACTTCTTCCCAGTTCTGAGCTACAGCTGCCCTAACACCCTAACTTTCGAGCTGCTGAAGATCAGATTTGTGCAAACTAAAAATGAATTCATTCTCCCCAACAACCTGATGCAGCCAGGGTAACACCTGAAAGGCTCACGGTTCTGGAAAGATCGGTTTTATTGGGGAAATAAGCCTGGCCACAAACGTTAACACTTTTTACCTGTAATGGGGGAAATGTCAATTTCAGTTGAGAAAACACATTTGACTTATTGGGAGTGGGAGGAAGACAAGGGCTTATGATGATCCTGACACACCTATACCTGTCCTGCTACTGACCAGGTCAGCGTCCTGTTGCCCTTCCTGGCTCTGTCTTTAATTTTTAAAGCCCATATTCAAACACACTTGTCTGGTATAAGGAGTTTGACTTGCACATTTTATTGTTCCAGATAAATAGTAACCTCAGTTCCTCACTAATTGCGATAACCATTAAGGGAGGCGCTCATCATCTGGATCTCCGGTATGTAGCCGGTAACCATAAGCCTTTGGTTACTGCCTCCCCCTTGGCCTGGGTGATCCCAGCAATGAAAAACAATAGTAACCTCAGCAGGAGACAGTCCACCAAACACTGCTGAAACACTGCTTTGGAAGAAGAGCCTTCTCCTTACCCAACTCTGCGCTCTTCACTCTGCCTTTCCTTGAGCATGGAAATGGTATTTGGTTGGTTCGTAGCCGCTTTCTCACCATGTTCACTTGGTCTCATCGCTGAGGAAGGGCCCTCTTGAGCAGGGCTCGTGCCAAGTTGTTCTCAGTGCAAGCTCCTTTACAGAAAAGTGCTTTCTTTCTCCCCCAGTAGGGCCAGCACTCTACCCCGACAACCTGGATGCAGTTCACACAGCAACATCCCACCACTCGAGCTTTTCTTCCTTAATCAGAAGCTTGAGCACTGAGCAGAGGACAGTAGTGTGTATTCTGTCCTGAACTACCCAAACTCAGGGAGGGCCCATTACTCCCTTTCCTGTAGGCATAGTGACCACCTCCCCACCATTATTTTGGTTTGTACTGTAACTTATTTCTCAGGGTTACACGCTACTAGAATGGTTTAAAGGTGCATAGTAGAATGGTAAGTAGGTGGTCTGTCTGCAGCCTTGTTCCCTGTGGCTGGAGCTATTCTACACACAAGAGGGGAAGCCCTCCTATGACAAATGTTTTATGTAAGGAAACTAGATCCTTTGCACCTCCACTAGCTAGACTCGTTATAAATGAAATCCCACTGTGATGCTTGAGAATGGCTGCTCTGGCCTCTGAGTAACTGTAGGCTCATGTTGGGATATGGACAACTAACTATTGTATATGCTTGGCATTCCCCGCAGAGGATATAATCCAGCTGATCCTCCATCTGTCACAGATGCACGCAACCTAGAAGCAAGGATTATCTATAACTGGGTGAAGTCTGCTAGGATTGAGAGAGCCTGGGAGAAGATGTCTGCGGGTCTATCACCGTGAAGATATCCATCCAGCCACGAGCAGGAATGTTGTGCTGCTGGGGTGTGTACCAGAAAGCACAAGGGTGGGAGCCATCGGAACTAAGTGTGCGCGGACCATTTGATGAAAATGTCAGTTCAAGTGGCTGTATGGAGGTGATAAAAATTCACCGGTCTAAATTGTGAGTCAGTCAAGTCTGTCAAAAGAAAACGAGTCGGCCAAATCCATTGACTAAAGGCAATAGCACTTTCCACCGGTCACATGCTTACCTGCACTGTACTAAAGATGTGATTGTAATGGGAGGAGGAGAGAATAAAAGCTTGCCTGTGTTAGACCATTCCTCAGGAACTGGGTCATGCTTCATGTACATGCTTTCCAGAATGGTAGAGGAAAGAATGGGGCCCTGCTAGGAGAATGAGGGATGATTATTCACAGCCCACAGCAATCTCCAGTGTTACACAGAACTATAGGATACGTGTAGCTTATGTTCAGCTAGGAACAGTCTGTCTTCAAAGAAATGCTTAAAAGGAGAAAGTTCTCTTGGGTGATTTGTGAAGAAGTCGAGTGAGGTTACTAGCTGTCATGATCAGTGAGTTGTAGGATTCAGCTGAAGAGAACAGTTTCTCCAGAAAGATTATAGTTACTTTTAAAAAAAAATCTCTGGGTCAGTCAGCTGTGGAGTAGAGACTAAAGTTTGGAGAGCAAGTGCCTTGGCTAAGGTAATCCTCATGTGAACAGCTATTGTACAGGAAACAGCATTCCTAGTGAATAAGTCGTCACATTTCCAATGATGACACCTACATTTATTTTAAAATAAATTACAAGTTTATTAAAGTATGTGATAGAATTCCAGGGGCTGGCTTTTGAATATAATCAAAGTGGATACAAAAAGGATATTTTTCTCTCACCCTGAGAGGTGAAATAAATTCATCTTTGCACATTAACAAGTAGACTCTTACCTACTGCAAATACTGTGTACCAATAAATACTAGCAAGACTGAAAAAATATTACATCTTAGTAATTAATTATATGCCTTAAAGTGAAATGTATCACCTTACAATGATTACACAGGGGCAGGTGGGGGGCGCGGGGGGATTTGGAAAGCCTCCAACAAGAGATCATCCCAGGCTCCTGTTACTTAGGTGGGCAAAGTACAGCACTTGTTCAGCTTCTTACCATTGCTCAAGCCAATGCTATGTTGGTTAAATTTACACTGGTGAATCTCTGCTTCCATCATGCCCCAACTGGTTCAGATAGATACTAGGGCCAGTCCTTGATACTTTTTCACATGATTCAAAGCAGACCCTCCAGGCACTGGGAGTAAGTTTCCCACATAGAGCAAGGAGTAGTACGTAGATTCACACAGGTTAAAGCTGAAGCATTCAGCAGTTAGCAGGGTTCATAGTGCCCCATGAGAGGCGTGCTGAATGTCTCTATAGAGATGAGAGGAGAGACTGGAAAGGAGTAAAGTAAACTCTCCCCCAATGGAATCCCCACCTCTAGCTCCCAAGATAAACCAAGGCCAGGTGGATGTTTCTCTTGGCAACCTTTTATCCTTGCTCTGCTATAGGAGTTGCTTCTTGATTACATTGCCCTGCTAGCATTCCCAGCTCCTGGAAAGCAGGAACCACACTGAGACCAGGGCCGTGCTTAGGCTCTGTCTTTGCCACATGATGCATTAACAAAGCAGCTAGGCCAGGAGTGAGTCACCTAGAAAGTACTCTCCGAGCTAGAATCTTTGAACAAGTGGTGGCCAGTGGTCTGCTCTCTGCCCTTTGGGTGACTTCCAACTTTCCACTTCAAGAGGAGGCAAGCGTTCTTTAACCCTCTTGCACCTTTTGAAAGATTCTAAAATATGAAACTTAACAAGGAAAGTAGTTCTGCAGATTCGATTTGTTCCTCTTTAGGGGCTAAAGGGGGCTGAAAGTGGCTAAAAAAGGAAAGTCGGTGAAGTATAGAAGAAATCAAATAGTAATGGCTTTTAGATGATATAGTGTGGGGATAAATTAGATATATAGCGAGACTTACAGCCATAATTCACTTTTCATCTTGTCAGAAGTAACTCCATCAAATGGAGGAGCCAGGGGGAGTGTCATGCTTCAAAATCTGCTGCAGATTTCTGTGGCAGACAAATCTGACCTCAGTTCAGTACAGATTTCCTTGATGGATTTTAAACCTTGGGTAAGAGGAAAGGGTATACAGTGAAAACCTAGTTATCGAGTACATCCTACAAAGAGGCAACTGGGAGAGTCACAGCTATTGCAAGGACATACACCATTACCTGGAAAAAGTTTCAGAGTAACTGGCTTAGAGAAACGGAAAGAACTAGGAATGTTTTCACAAGACATGAATTGCCCAGCTGGATTAAGACCTACAGCAGTGGCTTTGTTACCAAAAGGCTCACCATTCCACTGTATCATCACATACAACCATATGGAGGGTAGGGGCAAGTTCCAGAAACAGTAAGAAATGCTGCCTCTGGTTACAGAATATAATAGCTTAACTCAGGGCTTGAAAAATCCACACACAAGTCAAAAACTTTCCCTGGGCAGCATGAAAGTTTGCATCATCTCTTCCAATAGTATTTAAGATTTCATTTAAAAAACTGAAGTTTTTAGTCTTTCGCATTGTGCCAATAACCTTCCAACAGTGAATAAGTGCAGTATTTCTTTGAGGCTGCAGCTACACAGATGCAGTGTTTCTACTGCAGCTATGAGACTGCCAAGCAGCAACGTGAAAACAACTAGACTTATCAGTTTCATTGCTGCTGTTCAGAATCCTGAGAGCAGCAAGGAAACTTATCTTCCTTTCACTTTCAGGCTGCTGCTTGAAAAAGCTCCCAGCAGCAGAAGTACTGTAGTTTCCCAGGTGAAGAACCAAAAAAAAAAAAAAAAAGGCTAGGAAAGCCTCCAGCAGCAGCAACTTGCCTTCTCCTCAACCCCTCACGACAGATGCACTAGGAGAATGGAAGGCAAAGCTTCTTTCCCTCCCAGCAGTTGGAGAGGATGAGTGGAGCTTCAGATTTAATCAGACTCTTAACAGGACAATATAAAATATGGAGGAGGCCCAACAGATTCCAGGCACAGCACCTTGGTAGAAATCCCCATACTTAAGGGGTGGCAGTGGGGTTGGGCTTCTCAAAAGGGGGTTTCACTTTTGCCCCATATCTATCTTTCAGATCTACTTTGCGTTACTAGAAATATTCTTCCAAGCCCTGGTTTAAACTCTGGTACCTAAATGAGACCCCACTACTAGCCTCACCTGTAAGTATACAGTACTTCATGGCTGTGGCCATAAACAACAAACCAAGCAGTGTTTATTCCGCAGTGGAGGCAGTCACAAGTAGAATGAATAGTCTGAGTGGGTGCACTTTGTTTTGTTTTGTTAGAATTAGCCAAGGCACTCAAGCTCTTGGAAAGTAACCAAGGCAGCTCGCGGCAAAAGAGTTTTTAACATCACTGGATTAAATTATGGCCTTTCCACAACAATCCATTATTTGAGTATGGGAAGTGATTCAATAAATGGAGATGCCAAGTAGATGGATTATATTCACTGCAATTAAGGCTTTGGTTCAAAGGACCATACAGTACCCGAATGGAAACTTTACAACCAAGAATGAGCACTGGTCCTAGCATGCCTGGAAAGTAAGAGGATGTGCTGTGCCATCAAGGTGGAGTATTGCGCCTTTAAACTTCACAGACCAATCAGAGGCAAGAAAGTATCTTTGAGGGGGCACAAAAGCAGGTCATGACATAAGCAATTAAAGCTTTCTCTTCAGCAGTCAGAAAGGGAGCAATCAGATCGCCAGTTGTCAGACTATTTAGGGCCTACATGTTTCAGGCATAATAAATGATAGTTGCAAACTGACATTAGGTTTCTGTTCTACCCTGAGCAGAATGTTGACCAATATTAAACAAAACATTAACAAAAAGGTAAGATTTGACAAAAACTACCAGTTAGGGTAAGTTAGTTTCCTAAGACAGCATGAAGCCAGAGAAGAAATAAGTCAGACCAATAGCTTTGGAATAGAAATTTAGGATTGGGGGGAAGGGGATTATGTTTACTCCTCCCTCCACTTTATTCATTCAGAGTGAAATTCATCCCATATCCTTTTACTTGTATACTGAGCTCATGCGATATGGAAGGAATCGCAACACCACCACAACACACACGGAACCCTACAATGCCATTTTTGCAGAGTCAAATGCTTCTAAGAGTGCAACTGCACTTTATAACCTCAACACAGGGCTTAAGTGATACACGGAACCTTGCATATGTTCTCTGCACTAGGGTGTATATTCACCTCCTGAAAATTAACTCTTAACCCCCCCTTAAATATAACCAAGATACTCTGGAATTCTTATGAACCATGTAAAAATCGAGCAACAAAACAACTGTTCAGGCTTTAGGGTATGGCTTCTAAATTCCAATGTGCACTTAAGGGGGAGACCTTGGGAATTGCAAGATTACTAAAATTCTTGAATTTGTGGACCACGTCATTCTGCATAAACCTGTCATATCAGCAAATCCCCAACTCCCAGCATCAACAAACTTAAAAAAATGGTACCTATATATATATATATATTATATATATTACACACATATATAGAAATATAATTTGCAGTAATTGTTTCTTCACTTCCATGTGCCATCATCAGTACAAGGAATGATAAGTACTGCCTATAGATTTAAAAAGTGGTCCAAATAGTAATGTCCTACTCCAGCAAGACCAGGTCTGGCAAGACAAGTTATAAAGACACTGGTTACTTTACAAAACAGAAAGTTACATTTACTGTTAAATCCATAAGTATAAGTGAAAGTGAATTGCTATGGGTCAGCTTTATATTACCACGATTTCTCAGCCCCAAATTTAGAGTGGATTGTGCCTATACATGTACCTGTAACCTCCCTTCTCATTAATGAGACCTGTGGGAATGGAAACTATGACAGGAAAAGAGACCCTAAAATATAAGTGAACTAGCACTTTTCTCCCACAACTTATTAGTGTCCACAGGACTGCATAAGTTAGCTACAGAACCAAAAGGAAAAGTGTTTTACTTTCAAAATTCATTTCCAGAAATAAAAATGCAAGACCCCTAGACTCACAGAAGATACTTTTATCCATAAACACTAGGTCTATTTTCTCCTCAAAGCACACAAACAGCTCTCTACAGCAAGTCTACTGGCAGTATTAGCGAGGGGGAAGAATACCCTTTCAGTAGGACCACATTCTGAATCCATGCATTTAATTCTATAGGTGAACGTAACACTTTCAAACAAGGTACTTCAAAGAAGAAAAAAAGAATTAAAAATCCCTCCTTCTTAATCCATAGTAAGACAAATAGTAGGAATTACTCTGTACAACAATAAGCCTCACTGATCCAACATAACATTTTTAAAATCCAAGATCTGAGAAAGGTGAGTTTGAATTACACCTAATGTGCTCACCAGCTTTTCTATAGCTCAACCTCGCAAAGCAGCTTTCAGTCAGAATACCTGAGTCTAACTGATGCAAATATATATATATAAATGCATGTATGTATATTGTTTGCTTTTCACATTGTCTCCTGCATTCCTGCAGATAAGTTAAAAAAAATTGCAATACATCTACAAAATTGTATACCACTTTGAGCTAAATCAGCAGCAAGTTCTGTACTCAATTTGCCACCATTCATTCATTTTAGCCACAGCTCTAAGACATCGTTCAAAGTGCTCAATAAAATTCAGATACTGTACTACAGATGTTTTTGTAATACAACTTCTTTCTTCAAACACAATGTTGCACAGCTCATGGATTTGGAATGAGATCAAAGTGTTATCAATATTACTGACATCTCCATTTTTACAGGGACAATGGTACAGTTCTCCGTCTACCCCACATACCATATGGAGATATTACAGGCTCATACCATGGAATGAGCTGGAGTCAAGCTTTTCAGTACATCCTTCTCTCCAGAGACAATCCTGTGCTATAAGACAACTTACCGCTGTCCTGAAATCTAACCAAAATCTACGGAGAATGGCATGAGTGAGTCACTGGTTGCTCAGAGACCTATTAACCTCAGGGTCCACACTGCAATTGCTTTCCCAACCTTGATGTCTGCATCAAATCCAGGCAAAGCAGTACAGTGTGCAAAAGTTGTCCATCCCCGAGCTAAAGCACAGAGTTAGATTTAACACTGACAGATTTCTCTAAATCAGAGATGCTTTTCCAACTTTTTAAAAAAACAAGAAAGGGTAAATAGAACAATTCTCTGCTATCCCAGTTCAAACCCTGCACAGTAAAGTGACTCAAAGTAACATCCCACTGCCGAAGGAGCCTACAGTACTTCTATGCTGGTGCCCAGATAGGAAGGGGATGAGCTTCTGTGTTAAATACATATTTGTCAAGGTTGATTAGGTCTACGTCATCCGAAAACAGCAGAAACATATACTTGAGTGTTTCTCCAAGAAAGAAGCTTTCCATCTTATCTCTTGGCTCTGGGTTACTGGGGTTCTGGACGTTGTTAATGGAAGTATAACCACCTGAAGGAACCTGTGAAAAGGTAAGTAACAATTTTATATATTTCTATAAGCGAAAAAACTTGTGTTACCTACAAATTCTCAATTTTGATTAAAAAAAAAGAAAATAAGCATTAGAAAAGCAGGCAGAGCTTTCAAAGTAATATTTTGCAACTTACATAAAGAATTTCAATTCTGAAGCATTCCAAAACACTTTGCAAACTGATACACAAACTACATACAGTAAAATGAAGCCACATCACTGTGAAATGTTGCATGTTTAACAGCAGAAAGAAATGCTACAAGACAAGTAAAGAGGATAATGTCCAGTCAAAACTGCAGAAGAAATTTGAGGCAATTACTGCAATTACCAGGTTGAAATTGGTCAGGACAACAGGTTTAAATACCCATACTCTTGAGAAATGGTCATGAAAGATCCCATGACCCTAAACAGCCTGGACATAATTTTATAGCTCATCCAAGAGATACTTCTAGAAACACAGTGCTCCTCTCAGGTTATGCTGGAGCATTGGCTCAATACAAACACAAAGGGAAGAGTGCCCCCTACTGAGACATTAACATTACTTCCTGCAGCACTCTCTTTTCTCCTTTGAAAGCTTCCACCCAACTGTTGTACCATCCCAGCCAGATCTTGCTTAAGCGTTTGGGAGATCTGACACAATCACAGCAAAAACTGGATGGTTTCAAGGAAGGATCAGTAAAACTTTGCTGGACTAAAATTCATCTATCAAATTATCTTTGTTAAAAGGTAAATTACATGGGAGTAACATCCCATCTATGACACATTCTTCATCAACATCACAACTCTGTTATTCAATCTAATCATTTAACACAGTGGTTTTAAACACTTTAAACACTTCAGCCCACAGCTGAAGCCCCGAACCCCAACACCTCGCCGTGGGGCTGAAGCCCCAAGCCCAGGGGCAGAATGGGGGAGCACAAGAGGCTCTGCCCCCCCGCAAACAAACTGTAGTTCCTTACCCAGAGTGGGGCAGTCCCAGGGACAGCTCCACCCCTTACCCACTTCTTCTCCTTCAACTTCCATGAAGCCCTGCCCCGTGGCCAGGTCAGAGGCTGGAGCCAAGCAGAGTGGGGCAGTTACTGCTCTGGCTGGTGCCATAGAGAGGACAGCCACAGCATTCCCCCATCTCCTACTGCTGGTGCGCAGGTTTGCAGCTGCTCCTCAGCTTCCAGCCCCCCTTTGAGGCTGGGAGCCACCTCAGCAGGGGGACCCAGCTCTAGGGCCAGCAGAGCCCTCAGGGAGCAGCAACCATGGATGGGGGGCCTTCCCCGCACACAGCCCCTAGCTACCTGCACCCTGAGCTACCCCCCTGCCTGCACACAACCCCTAGCTACTCCTCTCCCCGCATTCTGAGCTACCCCCCCGTCTGCACACAGCCCCTTGCGACTCCCTTCCCTGCATTCTGAGCTACCCCCCGTCTGCACACAGCCTCTTGCTACTCCTCTCCCTGCACCCTGAGCAGTTTTCAAACTTTTAGAGCTGAGCCCCCTACCCCTCTTTGAGTTGTAATTTGTGATTGAGCCCCATGCGCTCCCCCCCCCCCCCGGCTGCAACCCAGACAGGCTGGGTGGCCTGCTGAGGTGAGTAAGGGGGTGGATGGAGCACTCCATCCTTGGGCCCTTCTGTGTGGAGCTGGCCTGAGCCCCACTGCCCCCCCCCAAAAACAATGGAAGTTAAAATATGCCTATGCCTGGCGGCCAGAGCCCCACTTTCCCCACATCCCACTGGGCCCTGGAGTTTTACAGCATGTTGGGTGGGGGAGGTCTCAGAAAGAAAAAGGTTGAGAACCCTTGGTTTAACGGACAATGGCTATATACCCACAGGTATCCATTCATGTATCTTGGCAATTAAAGCAAATGATGCTTTGGAGTCAGTGAGTTACCATGAAGGTACTCTGTATTGGTATTTTGCACTAGAAAATCCTAGCCCCTTAGAAACTATATCTGAAATTGCTGAAGGTAATGCTGAGACCCACTTGAAAACAAACAAAACAAAACAAAACTTGTTTGGATATAGGTCAGCATTTTTGTCCTGCTGACAATTCTATCCCAGAAATTTAGAAGGTCTTCGTTCCTCATAATTCTCTTAATACATAGCTTTTATCAATAGGATGAAAAGTCTTTTTCCTTAATGTGCTAAGTACTAAATGCAAAAGCCTAAGTACATAGGCTTCAAGGCACAGTACATATTGTAATACTCTGTCAAGCTCTTAATGCTTTGTTTTACCTATTAGATATTTTTATGATCCTTGGAAGATAAGCAATTTCAGCTTTACTTTGAAGGTCCCTATACACAGAACAGTTTGCCTAGATACACTCTTGAGATCATTACTGCTCAGCATATTGGCCTTACCCGTGTATATTTATTGAAGTTCTGCAAGATCTCCCAGCCCCAGTCTTGGTATTTCTTATCCCCCGTGAATCTGTACAGGTAGAACAGGCTTTCCACAGTTTCAGGTCGCAGCAGGTTGTGCCTATCTGCAGGCTGCAAAAAAGTAAAGATCACAATTGAGTCAGGGAGCAGGATACATTAGCAGAGAGCAATTTGAGTGTACCCTGTAGCTTCTTTGGTAACTCTTACAAAATGGGAGAACAACTGGGTAGGTAGTAATATTGCTGAAAAGGATCCAGGAGTTATAATGGATCACATATTGAATATCAGTCAGCATTGTAATGCAGTTACAAAAAAGGAGTGTCTTATATAAGAGACAGGAGGTAACTGTCCCACTCTACTCAGCATTGGTGAGGCCTCAGCTAGAGTATTGTGTCCAGTTCTCAGCACCACACTTTAGGAAAGAATGGGTAAACTGAAGGGGGGGGGGGGGAGAGAGAGTCCAGAGTAGAGCAACAAAAACAATAAAAGGTTTAAAAAATGTGACCTCTGAGGAAAGGTTAAAAAAACTGGGCATGTTTAGTCTTGAGAAAAGATGACTGAGGCAGAACGTAATGGCTGTCTTCAAATACATTAAGGGCTGTCATAAAGAGACCTGTGATCAACTGCTCTCCATGTCCACTCAAGGTAGGATAAGAAATAATGGGCTTAATCTGCAGCAAGGGATATTTAGGCTAGATATTAGGAGAAACTTTTTAACTATAAGGGTAGTTAAGCTCTGGAATAGGTTTCCAAGGGAGGCTATGGAATCCCCATCATGGGATTATATGCAAGTCAGCTTGTGAATGTTAAGAGATCATTCAAAAATTTCAAGCCTAGGGAGTGTTTGAGTGAGGAGAGACAGAGAGGAAGTTTACCCATCAAAACAAAGAACATTCTTCCCCAAGTGTAGACATTCTATAGGGAATTTCATAGAAACAACGTGATATGTGCACAGAGCTATCCAAAGCAAGAGATACACAGATGTCAATTTTTAGTGATACGTGTAAAGTTATTTACCTTGATCTCCACATCCTTGCGGTCCTTTTGTGCATGGAGATTGAAGTGTACAATCTCTGGGCTCAGGCCTGTCTCTACCTGAGCATACATCTGGTAACAAGTTTCTATGAGGGCTTTGGCCAGCTCCATGTGATCAGCAGTCAGACCATTATGAGCTCCAAGAGCCAGCGTCCCAGGCAAGAAGCAAACTAGATGATCCTGCAAGACAAAGCACCATCTAGTGTGAGAAGTATTAAAACAAACAAGACTTTGACTTACCCTATAGCAGCGCAATAAGGATATAGAGTGCTTAAAGACCACAATTATTTGTTAAGCAGAAATGTAACATGACACGAGGCTGGTGCCATTACTAAAGGAGACTCACTGTCAACTCAAAGTCACAAGATTTTGTAGCTACTATTGATTCTTGTTTCAGAGTAACAGCCGTGTTAGTCTGTATTTGCAAAAAGAAAAGGAGTACTTGTGGCACCTTAGAGACTAACCAATTTATTTGAGCATGAGCTTTCGTGAGCTACAGCTCACTTCATCAGATGCATACCGTGGAAACTGCAGCAGACTTTATATATACACAGAGAATATGAAACAATACCTCCTCCCACCCCACTGTCCTGCTGGTAATAGCTTATCTAAAGTGATCATCAGGTGGGCCATTTCCAGCACAAATCCAGGTTTTCTCACCCTCCACCCCCCCCACACAAATTCACTCTCCTGCTGGTGATAGCCCATCCAAAGTGACAACTCTTTACACAATGTGCATGATAATGAAGTTGGGCTATTTCCTACACAAATCCAGGTTTTCTCACATGCCCCCCCACCCCCATACACACACAAACTCACTCTCCTGCTGGTAATAGCTCATCCAAACTGACCACTCTCCAAATTTAAATCCAAGTTAAACCAGAACATCTGGGGGGGGGGGGGGGGGGGAGGAGGAAAAAACAAGAGGAAACAGGCTACCTTGCATAATGACTTAGCCACTCCCAGTCTCTATTTAAGCCTAAATTAATAGTATCCAATTTGCAAATGAATTCCAATTCAGCAGTTTCTCGCTGGAGTCTGGATTTGAAGTTTTTTTTGTTTTAAGATAGCGACCTTCATGTCTGTGACTGCGTGACCTAAGAGATTGAAGTGTTCTCCGACTGGTTTATGAATGTTATAATTCTTGACATCTGATTTGTGTCCATTTATTCTTTTACGTAGAGACTGTCCAGTTTGACCAATGTACATGGCAGAGGGGCATTGCTGGCACATGATGGCATATATCACATTGGTGGATGTGCAGGTGAACGAGCCTCTGATAGTGTGGCTGAACACCTTAAATTACTAAAACCAAAAGAAGCTATTGGGAAAAAAATCTCATCTTGTTCAGTTTACCAGCCTGATGCATTTCGTAACACTTTGTGTAAAGTCAGTTTATTTGTTACCCTGTAGTGCTGATTAGCAAGGGAGAAACTGAATGATCTTTAAAATCAATCAAGAGGGGAACCAAAAAAATCCTTATAAAATTAGCTTTTAAAAGAATTCAGGACATAGGATTTCAAGAGGGTTCTATCAGAAAGTGTAAATTTGAAAAAACCTCAAGCTGACAGCGTCTCTAATATTTATATAGCACCCTAACTTTTCATGGTGCTTTAAAGAGATCCTTTTAAATATTTTAAATGGTCCAGACAGCTTAAAAGTGAAACTACTCAAACACAAAAAGTAGACAAAAGAAAATGATAGGGAAGAGAAGGATGAGGGTTAAGATAAAACCTATGAACAGAAAGCAAATTTCATGAGTTCTGATATTTTGAAGCAGAGACTGAAGTAAAACAAAAGGCAAAATAGAAATTAGCCATAGAAACCAAGGGTAACAGGGTCTGGGGAAGTATTTGAAGTTTAAATGTAGATTATTCTGAGCAGTAACTGATATGATAATCTTAATCTGAATATAACAGAGCATGAGGTAAAACTGAACATCCTTCCTACCACTAGAACTTCTAATTTTTTTGTTATTATCCATTTGAGTGTAAGAAACACCTGATACTTTAAGTCAGGCATCCTCAGTGTTCCTCGGTATATCAGGCTCATCTCCTTGGTACAGCAAACATTCCACAGAACAACACTGAATTTTATTCCTGCACAGAGGCAGCAGCAGGAGCAAAAGGGTTACAAGGATCTTCCTTTCATGAATTCTACACACTACAGCTTTATTATTCAGTTATTTATTCAAGGAACTGAAGTATAGCACTTTTGTAGATGCAACGCTCTCAAGGATTGTGCAACGCTCTCAAGCAACTGAGTTACATGTGGTTATCTTTCCGAGAACACTGTGAAACGTTACATGAATAATTCAACAGTCAACACAATCAGTATACAAACAAGTTGGGAACCTATGTCTCATACAATTCTCAGGACTCACCTCCACTGAAATTCAGTTTACAATAAGATTAACAGTCCCTTCCAGTAAGGCTAATGCACTACTAATATTGTGAACAACAGGACTACAGATTACATTTGGAGTTTTGTTCATTTCTATCATTCCAAAATCCTAAAGGGGTTATAAAACACCCACTGCCAATCTCGTAGTGCTCATAGAGAACCTCTGTACAAAGCTCTCAAGGTCCCCGTCCAATTCAACAGGCAGTGGTCAATATTGATGGTAATATCAGTGTAGAGAGACTGAAGTAACAGCATTAACACCTTTTCAACTAGTCAGTTATGGTGAGGTTCCAGTCGTACCCTTCAAGCAGAGATGATAAATGAAATGCTGTAAAAGTCTCTGCCCTGCAGGGACTGAATTAAAATGTACTCATACATGCAGTGTTGAGGGGGCAGATTTACACATACATTAGTAATGCACTGCTCACTTATAAGTATTTGTCACTTTCATTTACATACTGTCTTACACCAAAAGCACTCTGAATACTTTTCAAAAGGAGTGTTAAATTCATAGATTTTAAAGCCAAAAGGGTCCATTATGATAATCTAATCTGACTTCTGGTATAACACAGCCACAGAATTTCACTCAGTAATTCCTGCATCAAATATTTTACTCCATCTCTTATTTCCTGCCTTTTAGGTGGCATTTGCCCAAGGCCACACAGTAGGTTTGTGGCAGAGCCAATACCAGAATTTCCAAATCACCCTGATTTCCACACTCATGCCTTAACTACTAACTAGATCATTTACTTCCTTGTATTTTTGCATTGTAGAAAAAGTGAATAATATACAAAATAGGCACTATCTCAGTGTTCCCAATGCTGAAATGATGTAACAAATGATTGCACTGTGTTTACTACTGCAGAAGCACAAGTGGAAACTCACAGGGAGATTCAGATCAGCAAATAAAAACCTAAGAAAGGGCCTCTGTCCACAGCAGGGACTGTTACCTGTAACCTAGCTACTCAATATTGTCACTAGTGACCTGAACCCAGCATTCTTTTAAACTAAGATCGCACCTGCCCACAGAACAAACAGACAGAAAGACAAACAAAACCACCACCCTTCACAGGTTATCACAGTGTAATCTAAATGCACGAGGCATCTGCAGATTGCAAGGGTCCCTGCCATTTTTAATTTATCATTTTTTGGATCTTCCAGCAGCCACTATCAAAACCTTTGCTTCACACACACAGAGAATACACATTTGATCAAAGATCTATTATAACTACCGCACTCAAGATCTCTCCCCTACGAAACTGCAGACGGCTCAGGGGAAATGCAACAGTGTTCATAAGAGCCACTGAAAAAATTCAGATACAGTGCTTACCATCTTAGCACTGAAATGGCCGTGAGCAAGTTCACCCACAAAAGTAAGCTTCTTGGGTTGTGATGTCCGAAGTAGATGCTTTTTCACCCCCTCCATAGCTCTCATGTAATCTTCCAACAATCTGTGAATTAAAACCATTCCCAGTTGGCCCCAATATACACATTTTAAAGTAGATTTATCCAACCATACTTTAGATCAGGGATCAGCAACCTTTGGCACGCAGCCCACCGGGAAAGCCCCTGGCAGGCCGGGCCGGTTTGTTTACCTCCTGCGTCTGCAGGTTCAGCCAATCACAGCTCCCACTGGCCATGGTTCGCTGTCCCAGGCCAATGGGGGCTGCGGGAAGTGGCGCAGGCTGAGGGATGTGCTGGCCGCCCTTCCTGCCCCTATTGGCCTGGGACAGCGAACCGCAGCCAGTGGGAGCTGCAATCAGCCAAACCTGCGGACGCAGCAGGTAAACAAACAGGCCCGGCCTGCCAGGGGCTTTCCCCGGTGGGCCGTGTGCCAAAGGTTGCTGATCCCTGCTTTAGATATAGTACATGCATCTCAAAGGCCACACTTTTTGTAGAGTAGAAACTTGCAATTTGATTTCAATAGGCAGTACTTAAGATATTTAGTCAAATATAAAGCATTAAGAAAAATCCAAGTAACCATGCTTATACAAAATGCATCCAGCACAGGTAGGGCAAACTTTTGAAACGGTACGGAGGGCCGGGTAGCGAAGGCTGTGCCTCCGCAAACAGCCTGGCCCCCATCCCCTATCTGCCCCCCTCCCACTTCCCGCCCCAACTGCCCCCTCAGAACTCCCGACATCCAACCCGCCTGCTCACTGTCCCCTAACCACCCCCTCCTGGGACCCCCCGCCCCCCGGAACCCCACCCCCTATCCCAGTGGTCTCCAAAGGGGGGTGCGCAAGACCATCCGTGGGGGTGCGCGGCAGGAGGAGCACCGCTGGACCTTTGATTCTTCGGCAGCACGCCGGCGGCATGCTCGGCTCTCCCCGCTCCCTCTTCGGCGGCACGCTCTTTTTTTTTTTTTTTTGTGCTTCCCCAGAGCTGGCCCTAGGGGTGCGCCATTTAAAAAGTTTGGAGACCCCTGCCCTATCCAACCTCCCCCTGCTCCCTGTGCCCTGACTGCCCCGATCCCTATCCACACCCCTGACAGGCCCCCCGACCCATCCACCCCCCCCACACTCCGTGTCCCCTGACTGCTCCCTCCTGGGACCCCCATCTCTAACTGCCCCCCCAGGACCCCACCTCCTATCCAAGTCCCCCGGCTCCCTGTCCCCCCCCCACCGACCCCACCCCCTATCTCCTGACCCCACCCCACCCCCAACCTCCGCCCCATCCAACCACCCCGTCCCCTGACTGCCCCCCGGGACCTCCTACCCCTTATCCCACGCCCCCCTTCCCCCCCCTTTACCAGGCCGCTCAGAGTGGCAGGACAGGCTTATTGGAAAGCCTGGGAGGTGGGTGGGCGCAAGCTGCACTGCCCGCACATCAGCGTGGCTCCAGGGGAGGGGGGACAGCAGGGGAGGGGCTGGGGGCTAGCTTCCCCAGCCAGGAGCTCAGGGGCTGGGCAGGATCGCTCACATCAGAGTCCACATAAGATACTCTTCCTTCTAAACTGGCAACTAGGATAGTAAATCTTATAGCTTACATCATTCTTAAACTGACACAGGAAGTGGGGAGAACTTACTCATTTTCCTTCTTCCCACCCTGGATCCATTGCTTGAGCAAATACTCATAGTAGCTGTCAGCTCTGGCTCCCAGAGTATAGACACCCAGGTGAGTGAACTGCCCGCTGTTGGTGTTTATGAACATGGGCACTAGTCCATCATTCTTCCCTGAGAGAGAGTGTACGTGCTTCATCACCGCATCTACTGCTTTCTACAGAAAAAAATAAATTGAAAAAATACACACTGAATGAGACAATGCAACTACACAGCTCAATGGTACTTAAATGGCTAGAAGCAGTCAGCAGTTGTGGAATTTTTTCCCTTTTCCAATACAGTTGCTGCTTATGGCTTCAGAGAAACTACAGCAAATATGAGGTGGGCAGATTTTTTTATCAGCTTTCCTTTTCAATAATACAACTCTCCCATGCTAGAATCAGCAATGGTGGTGAGTCCAGGTCCCTCAGTAGTTTAGAAGTCAGATTCAAACACTAACTGACAGAACATTAGGATAATACTAAAGTTAGGTTAAGTGGCCTGCAACACCTCCAACAGTGTCTGTTCTGGAGGAGATCAGTGAAACTCAGAAATATTTCTCAATAATACTGTACCTCAACTCAAGTTTTAATGATGCCAATTTTTTTTTTAACTGAGATTTTCATGACATGAGTATAGCTAAGGATCACTGCACATACACAATGTACAGCTATAGTTCCTGCAAATAACTGTATAAATAAGGCCCTACTTGAATGGTTGGATGGTCTTCAAATAATTGCAGAAGAGTTGCGGACAAGACATGGAAAAAAAAATTGCAGAAAAGTAATAATCATAGACTATCAGCGTTGGAAGGGACCTCAGGAGGTCATCTAGACCAACCCCCTGCTCAAGGCAGGACCAATCCCCAACTTATAATGGACCTTCATTAACAGCAGTGATGTGGAAAAGCCAGAATAGACCTATGTGTTTAAGAAAAATTTGCAAGAATGATATAAACACTCAAGTATTAGCTTATGCCTGCTAATTTTTTTGATAACCAGATATTTTGCTGCAACTATCTTACAGTCATTAAAAAAAAAGCGACTGCTACAATATACAATTCAAAAGACTAAAAGTCTTAACACATCAGCTATAGAAATCGAGTCCAGTCACTTTAGCTTTTTACATTTTACAGGCATTGAATGTTAGTGCAATACTAATCGCATACTCAAAACGGATGCAAAATTCTGGATTGTGCAAAGTAAGCTAATTAAAAAAAATCAAAATTGCAATGGAAACCTACTTTTGTGGGATCCACAATATTGGGAATGAAGTAGGGCCTGATGTATAAATTGATTTGGGGCACTATACAAAATCACCTCCAAACAAAAAGAATACACCTCCCACTGCCTTTGAAATGGTTAGTACTTGGGCTTATTTTCTCCCAGATACAACCTTCACACCATGCCCACAGCTGGAATTTGAGTCAGCTGATAAGCACTCTGCAGCTTAGAAAGGGAGTTCTGTTATTTTCAACACTAGCATTAATGTAGATATCTAAGCACCTCCTACAGAATTTAAATACGAAGAGGACAGCTCTACATAGTTTATCTATACCAGAGGTGGGCAAACTATGGCCCACGCGGGACTGTCCTGCCCAGCCTTTGAGCCCCTGGTCCCTCCCCACTGTCCCCCCTCCCCACAGCCTCAGCTTGCCACACCACCAGCACTCTGGCCCGCCACTCCTGCCGGGCAGCACCGCAGCGTGGCTGGCTCTGGCTGGGCAGCGGGGCTGCACACTCCTGCTGCTCTGAGCGGCATGGTAAGGGGGTGGGGAGCTGGGAGTTGGATAAGGGGCAGGAGGTTCCGGGGGGCAGTCCAGGGACAGGGAGCAGGGAGCGGTTGGATGGGGTGGAGGTTCTGGGGGTGGTGGTCGGGGGGGGTTGGATAGGCATGGGAGTCCCAGGGGGCCTTTCAGGGGGCGGGGGTGTGGATAGGGGTCGGGGCAGTCAGGGGACAGGGGGGATTGGATGGGGGGGGTGGGTTCCCGGGGGGGGGTGGAGTTAGAGGCGGGGGGTCCCGGGAGGGGGCAGTCAGGGGACAAGGAGAAGGGGGGGGTGGAAAGTGGGAGGGGGCGGATAGGCAGCAGGCTGTTTGGGGAGGCACAGCCTTCCCTACCCAGCCCTCCATACAATTTCGCAACCCCAACGTGGCCCTCGGGCACCCCTGATCTTTAGCCTGGTGTTTTGAAAAGCCAGTTATAGGTAATCTAGTCTCAAACAGACAACACAAAAGATACCACAAGCATATCAAAAGCAAAGATTTTTCTTGTAAGTTCCTTCTGATGAAAGGAGCAATTATTCACCTCTACTATGAGCTTTGTGGTATTTACTTAAAGAAAATAACTGGAAAAGTAATGGACTCTTCCCCCCACAGCTGCTTCCCTTTGGATAGGTCATTTAATTCTCTTTAGCTGTGAGATTAAAAGAACAAGGAATTCACCAGTAAACTAAAAGGTGGAGCAACTACTCAGAAACAGCGATGTGTATGGCATGATTAGGCATAAAATTGCTCCAGATAAGATGTTTTAGAGATGGTGTTTGGTAGGAGGTGGATCAGCAATGTAATGGCATTTACTTTCATCAACCAATGAAATCTGCTCCAGCTGCCACAGTGAGAAATATTTTTGATCTCTGTTAGAAGAATGGAAGGAGAAAAGAGTACAGGCAATATAAGTGAGCCTCACCAATAATGGGGTGGAGGTTGAGAGGCAGCAAAGATGACAACTGGTTATCCCATACCTGGAATTTCTCATCTCCAGTGAGACGAGAGAGCTCCCTAAACTCCAGTTGAATACTGGTCACCTCTGCCACGGTGCTGTCAGACGTCCAACGAGGTGGGTGGGCAGTGCCTCGGCCAATGTTTACATCTGAGTATGGTATCTTGGATGGTGTGTTGAATGCTGGCATAAGCCTACTCCCAATGTCTTTCTAAAGAGAACCCAAAAACATGGCACAAAAATTCTTTATTATTTCTCTCAGCAATCAAACAAAAAAGAGGAAAAAGAACTGCAGCTTAGTTTTAGCCCGTCTATGAGGAACAAAGGCAAATATTAAGAAGAATCACTACTTCACAATAATTGGCATATAGCTTCTACCTAGTTCCCATTGCTGTACATGACAGTTCATTTTGCACATCCCCACAGGGTTTCAATCTGAGATTATGGATAATCCTTAATGCAAGCACAGGGCCTTTGTCCCGGTGTAGGATTCATACAAGGTTTATGCGCTTGGCAACATTCAGGGCACACCCGGAGTGTTGTGCTGGACCTGTGCACACACAGCTCCTTTCAAGGGCATCAACCTTGGAATCTCGCCCAGATGACATGAACCGTGGGAAGCCTCCCAGGACTGGGCTCAAGGCCCGAGAGCAAGGAATGCGGTAGATAGAAACTGGTAAATAAGAATGTTAAACAAAGCCAGTGTATTCCTTTTATCTGTTGGAGAATGTAATGCACGGGGGGAGAGAAAGAATAAAGGGGAAGGTGGAAAGCTGACAGGCAGAAGCCTGTTAGCAGACCAGCCGCTTGCTTGCTAAAAGCTCTGTGCTGTCTTGTCATTTAACCGCCACAGTCCCGGCACTTGGGAGGGGCAGGAGAATACCACTGTATTTCCCAAGACAGGGAACCTGTGAGTAACCACTCCATTCATTGACTAGGACTTTCTTCCCATAAAAAAAATTAACTGGGGAAAAATACAATAAAGATCCTTAAATGTATCACCTTAGTCTTTACATTAAGAATTAAGGGAAATTCTAATTAAAATGGAACCCTAAGGTATGAGAGCTCTGATGACACCAGGAAAGCGAAGATGAGGAAAACATTCAAGAAGCCTAGGGCAGCAATGGTGAAATAGAGAGGAAAAGCGTGGCAGAATTTACCTTCTGATGAACCTTTCTGCCACTTTACGCAACACAAGACACACATTCTATTTGGGACTGTGAGACTCAATCACTTACAGCTTTTTCTAGGAAGAGGCTATCTCCAGATAAGTGGTAGGTGCTCAGCAAACCCCCCAGAATACGAATGGTGCTCTCAAAGAGGTTCACATCCACATTCTTATCAAGCTGTAAGTCAGTTGCCACCCATTTCTTTGCTTCTTCAAACTCTGCAAGGCACAAAAGGGAACAACGGTTGGAGGAAACACACTGTAATTATAATAGCACACTCAAATGACCAGATTAAAAGAGTTAGTATGCCATACTGCCTTGATTGTTATTCAGTCTATCAAAAGGAACCTGTATTTTTAAGGGGCAAGCTGAAGAGGTTACAAATACACTGAAGAATACACACCGGGAGAAGTTAGACCTTGCATCAGTTTAATTCCTATGCAATACAACAATGTGGGGATATGCAAGGAGACAAGTACTTGGCAGAGAAATTACACATTTAGCAAGTCTTGTAAAAGCACATTCCTTCTTTATTAAAATAACGCAAACGGGAATTATCCTGGTATCCCAATAATCCACCTCTCTCAATATAAGCCTGCAGTCTATTACCACCTACTTTACTGGCCATACGATCAGTCACACTTTCACCATAAGACTTTTTAGATTTTAGTTAAGGCTACTTAAATCAAAGCTACTGCCTGTCAGCTTCCCAACATACTATTTATGTATATATATGATCTTGCATTACTTCACCATCATTAATGACTATCCTCACAACAGCCTTATGAAGTAGGAAATATTTCCCATTTTTCAGATTGGGTGCTGAGATAAGGAGGGATTAAGTGACGAGCCCACGGTCACACAGGAAGTTTGTGGCAGAGGTGGGAATTGAACCGAAGTCTGTTGAGTCCCATGCTAATGTTTTAAGCGCAAGCTCTCTCGGTATTCAGGACACCAGGCATCTATGACTACCAGGAACTCGTACTAGGGAAAACAAAGTTGCTTCTTTAAAATATTGCCAATTATCTGGAGACAGAATGCAAAGGTTAGAAATTAACACCCTTCCACTGAGGCTTCTTAGGATGTTAAGCTATCACTAGGATAGCTCACCAAGATCTATCTCCCACAGATCCGTCTCCCTTATGAGAAAATCAGTTTACAAATACATTATTTTATACAGGCCTTAAAAAAGGATGACAAAATAGGTTTTCTACATTCCATTTCAGTAAATTGTGCTGTCAGATTTGTTATCACTGTCTAGCAATAGGTAGTGCAATAGAGAAATCCAGACTTTTCTTACAGAAGCAGTTTTTATATTCACAGACTCATGAGAGAAAGATCTGCACACTCTAACACAACTTTCATTTATAGAGGTTTTTTTATCCTGAAGAATCCCAAAGAGCTTTACAGACTATGAAGCAATCACTTAAAGGAGAATTGCAATAGTATATAAAAGTTTCCAAACAGATGTTCATTTTAAACATGTCTAAATCACTAATAATTTTAAAAGCTCTCTGCAGATCATATTTAAATATTTTATAAGAAAGCAGTCACACTGTCAACCTGATGAAACACCGAGAGAGAGCTCAGACATGCAGTGAGAGACACAAACGAGATGTTTCCACAGTGGGTTTTTTGTTTGATTTCAAATTGTACATATTAAATCAAACAAGTAAGGAAAATATAGAATCATGGAAGACTCCTGCAGTTTCTTGTGCCGTTAGCTGCAGATCTGATCTTCCAGTCTCAATACATGTCAAACTGTGTTTGTTGTGGAATTATTATAAAGGTGGCTGTCTCCACAGATCCCACAGTTGTCAAAGCACATCAATGGAGACATTTTCACGTATTTGTAAATACTGCTTTGTAGTTTCCTTGTTTAACTTACATGTCCCGAATAAGTGATTTTTTTTTCCTGTAGTCATGTAAGGCAGTAGCTTAAAAACAAAAAAATCAAATTGAGGTTTTAAAACCCAGTACCAAAACACAGACACTTCTGGAGTGAATTAGGATACCTACCATACAGTGAACAGAAAAAGTATACAACAGTTTGGGACAGGAAGTGATGAGTACTGTATCCTATTGAATTTAGGAGGGAATTTTGCTAGACAATAGGTAATTACGCAAGTAAAAATGTGGCTTGCACATCAGCATTAAAATGTGGTTAAAGTCAGAAAAAAGTGAATAAAATCCTTAATCCAGTGGTTTTCAAACTTTTTCTAGTGACCCAGCTGAAGAAAAATGTTGATGCCCACAACCCAACGGAGTTGGGGATGAGGGGTTTGGGATGTGGGAGGGGCTCAGGACTGGGGCAGAGGGTTGGGGTGTGATGGTGAGAGCTGCGGGGTGGAGCCGGGAATGAGGGGTTCAGGGTGTGGGAGGGGGCTCTGGTCTGGGGCAGTGTTGCAGGAGGGGGTCAGGGTTGGGCTGGGGGTGCAGGCTCTGGGGTGGGGCAAGGGATGAGCGGTTTGGGGTGCAGGAAGGGTCTCCAGGTTTGGGGAGGCTCAGGGCTGAGGATAGGGGCGCAGGGTTACCTCAGGTGGCTCCCAGTCAGCAGGGGTGCTAAGGCAGGCTTCCTGTCTGTCCTGGCACCGCGGACTGCGCTGCGCCCCGGAAGAGGCCAGCAGCAGGTCCGGCTCTGTTAGGGGGCTTATTCCTTCACCCACTTACTTCCCTGGTCCTTCTCGCATGAACAGAGAGCAACAATACCCGAAGTCCAAAGGTGCAAACAATTCGATGTTTATTGAGGGGAACTTCCAATAAGCATGATTCCAGTTTCCTTCCTTAGTATCCTCCTTCCCAGCTCTGACACCACAGAGCCTTACACCTGTGTCCCTGTTCCCATTCCTACCCTTAGCCAAACATGATTCCAACTTCCTTACTCCCATTCCCTGTTCCCATTTCCCCCTTTAGCAAAACATGATTCCAATTTTCTTACCCCCATTCCCTGTTCCCATCTCCCTCCCCCACCACACACCCACCCCCTCCCACCCACAGAGTTTTCATGCACACCCAACCCAACAAAGCAACAATCTGATCCCCCAGAGCCATCCCAAGGCTCAGATCCACTCTCTAAAGGTAGTCTGTTAACTCTGCTTTTGACTTTAAACCCTTTTGTGCCAAATCATCTTTAACTACCCTAACTAATTTACAACCCTTCAGCAGCCCTTGCTGAAGCAGCACCAAACTTGAAAGATTACTGGCAGCTTCCCATAATGCTGCCCTTACTTCAAACCTCTCACAAGCAGACTGAAGTGCCTCCTTTCCCTGGAAGGCATTCAGTCCCCATGGGCAGGGACCTTCTTCCACTACCCATGTACCAAGGAGGGTGGGCTCCTCAGCCACCCCCCATCCCTCTGGGTCCCCTAACAGGCTCCTAGGCGGAGGTGCGCAAACGGCTCTGCGTGGCTCTTGCGCACAGACACTCCCAGCTCCCATTGGCCGGGAAGCTGGTGCTTGGAGAGGAGGCAGCGCGCGGAGCCCCATGGCACCCCTGCCTAGGGGCTAGACCTGATGCTGGCTGCTTCCAGGGTGCAGTGCGGTGTCAGAACAGGTAGGGACTAGCCTGACTTAGCTGAGCAGCACATCCAATAGGACTTTTAATGGCCTGGTCGGCAGTGCTGACCAGAGTCGCCGCAACCCAGTGCCTTACATTCTGCAACCCAGCACTGGGTCGCGACCTGCAGTTTGAAAACCACTGCCTTAATCAACAGATTTGTGTGGATTCTCCATGCATCCGATGAAGTGGGTTCTAGCCCACAAAAGCTTATGCCCAAATAAATCTGTTAGTCTTTAAGGTGCCACCGGACTCCTTGTTGTTTGTGTGGATTCTGTGTCTTATATACTTATAGTCAAAACAATTAAGTTATTAGCTTTATTCCTTTAAGCATTGCAAATCCAACAGAACACCGAATTATTTTCTGGTTTACATACAGAATTGTTGACTAAATTTCATATGTAGAATATCTTTAGTAACAGTGATCATACACAAGCTAAGAGATCCCAGACTGACTTTGCAAGACTGGCACTTAGAAAGGCCCCTCCAGCATCTTAGTAAGCATGGCACCACCCTGGGGCACTGGTTGTTTCAGTACGGAAACAACAACAACAAGCAGACCTAATAATCCAGTCCCCAATTTCTAGCAGGAATGCCAATTCATCAATAGATACAGCCACCAAAATTATTCCACAAATGCTTTTACCTACAGGATGCAGTTGGAAGGAACACCTTAAAAACAAAGAAGTTTGTCCCTTAATAGTAAGTTTTTGGATTTTCCCTATGGACTAAATGAAATTTGCTCAGCCAAAGTGTAAACAATTGCCTCTGTTAAGGAGCTCTGAACATATTAGTTCAATAGATACAGAGAATCCCCAAAAGCTACTGGAATAAAACATTCTGCCTCTCAGACACCAAGCATAAAATGATCAGTTAGCCTTAGTGGCAACTGTTGGAACCAAAAAAATACTGAGATGGGAGAAACATAGGAAGAGAAAAGAAAATTACCTTCTTTTAAGCCCAAAATCCACATGGTATCCAAAGCATCAATTAACGTAAGACCGAGTCCAAACCACTCGCTGTAGGATTTGGACAAAGGTTTCAGTTCATCATGTCCCCAGGCAAACTCTTTATAACCTTTCCATGCATGGTGGAATGCTTCTATCACAGCCATCTGACGTTCATTTACGGGCACTGTGAATGGAAATCAACACCTTGTTGAAGAATGCTGAAGCTCAGAGTTATGCAGCCACATGAGACGTTTCTCCACAAACCCTACCCAAAATCAAGAGCCCTCATCTCTGCAACTAAAGATTACATTACACTAGCTTCAGTTACCTCAAGTTATTTCTTTTTAATAGGATCTTTCCAACCTGCAGTAAGCGGTCAATATTTTTAACCAATGATTTAGTGAGGCAGCAATGGAAATCTCATTAACATTGAACTCCAAAAACAATATTTAGAGAAATACACACAAAAAGCTATGTTAATGATAAAATAACATTATTAAGGTTGCCAAGTCAAGCATTTTTAACTTAAGATATCCCAGAATTAAGGTTACAAACTTAATTCAGATCCCTATCTCTTTCCTCTACTGCCAAATTTCAAGTCCCTGCTCCAAAACATGGGGGTGCTAGAGCTTTTCAAAGAAAAGACCACCAGAATTTAATCAGCAAAACAACTTATTTTCCCTAGCCTTGATCTCAAAAATGGCTGAACAGTTTTGGCTGAAATTTTCCAAAAACAATTCAGCCTGAGGCAGACAGCCAGCATGAAAAATTTCAGCCCCAGTGGTTAAAGTCTGGCAAAAAGTTATGAGCAACTGAAGAAAGGGTCTTATTATGGGAGTGTCTGACAACCTTAATAATAGGTGTTGTTACCAGTCCCACCTATATTAAGGGCACTTAGACATCAGGCTGCCAATGCACTGCATGCTATTACAAGTAAAGCCTAGGTTTTGCAACAAACAAGAACTCTCTCCCACTAGCTCATCAGAGAGCAGATTCCCAGATTCTTTGCTGCACTGGGACAGCAACTGAAGAGTCAGCTGCCTATTCCTGGTAATCCTCAAAAGCAGTGTGTGATGAATTAATGGAGGAAGTCACTTTCTTCTCCCCAACCGGTCTCCAAGGGACCAGCAAACCACTGTTGAGAAAAAGTTGTCCTTTTCAAGCCATCTCTCTAAACAGCTATTTTTCCCAAGGGGAGGGCACTTCTCCTTTTGGGATGTGAAGCAGAGAGAAAATCAGGCCATGCTGCCTATTTTCAGTGCCACTCCTATTTCTCAATTTCAGGGAGGGAGAAAAAAGGCAAGAGAGGTCAAAGGTAGGAGCAAATGTCCATTTAAACAAGGGGAGGAAGGTTGTGCATGAAGGCATGCACATACAGAGAAACCAGGAAAAAAAATGGTAGTAAGATATTTATATGGGAAAAAGAAAATGAGTACTTGTGGCACCTTAGAGACTAACCAATTTATTTGAGCTTAAGCTTTTGTGAGCTACAGCTCACTTCATCGGATGCATACTGTGGAAAATACAGAAGAATTTTCCACAGTATGCATCCAATGAAGTGAGCCGTAGCTCACGAAAGCTTATGCTCAAATAAATTGGTTAGTCTCTAAGGTGCCACAAGTACTCCTTTTCTTTTTGCGAATACAGACTAACAAGGCTGTTACTCTAAAACCTGTCATTTATATGGGAGGGACCAAGTGCTTCACCAAGCGGGAGGAATGTACATTTTGCAGAGCAGGGAAGGTGGTTGAGGACAGGTGCCTATAGTACTCCCCAATATAACGTTGTCATCTTCTGGCAAGGCAAAGGAGAAGCCAATAACCAGGAGCCTCTCAAAAACATTCCCTAGTGTAGGGCCATCCTGTTTCCACAGTTGTCCACTTACATAGGAGGTATTAGAGTAACAGCCGTGTTAGTCTGTATTCGCAAAAAGAAAAGGAGTATTTGTGGCACCTTAGAGACGAACCAATACAATATGCATCCAATGAAATGAGCTGTAGCTCAAGAAAGCTTATGCTCAAATAAATTGGTTCGTCTCTAAGGTGCCACAAGTACTCCTGTTCTTTTTATAGGAGGTATTGCTGCTGCAGAAATAAAGACAGCACTTTCCTTAAGGATAAGTAAGTATAGTTTAAATATACTCAATTTAATAAATCACTCTGGGGCTTATGGTTTATTGTGGTTTGTTTTTGGTAATGAAATGGAAGATTCAACGTTTGCATGCAATATCCAGGACAAGGTTAGGGTACAGATGCATGTGCCCAATATATATCAGAAGCAAAAAAACCACACTTCGTTTGGGAGTGGCAAGCAGGCAGAGGTGAGCTGCACAGTGGCAGCAAGTATAGCACGCAGTCTATTGATACATGATCTGGCAATTACAGCCACGTATGATACTGTGCCATGGTAACAACTAGTACAGCTAATGCAATATTCGTGCATCAGTATTTTCATATTCTCAGTTCTCAGCATTATTTGTGAATCACCAGAAACCTTGAAAAAACATGCACCTGTTTTGTCACAGCAGATCAAGTATGCTGCAGGATTTAGATGTTCTAGATGAACAATGCATAATCTCTTTTCAGTCAGTTCCTCCCCTTCCCACAGGAAGCAACTCTTTCTCAGGTAAAAATAGCAGATTTAAGGGATGGCATAACTTTGACCATGAATCTAATAGGGAGATATAAACATCTAAATCTCATGGTCAATAATGAGAAAGGTGATGGTCTGTAGCCCATTACCTGGCTCTTTCTGATCTTCCACTTCCACAGACGATGGTTTTTCTGGTTCCTTTATTTTACTGGAAGGAGATTCAGTGATTTGGTCAGGTTCTATCACTGCTCCTCTCCAACTGCAAGTACAAGGTATTTCAATAATATTTAACTAGATTAAAATAGAGACAAGAGTTAAAATGAATTATCCTTATCTCTACTGTCAAACATTGTTCATTTCATATTTTCACAACAGACTGATAAACAGGGAACTAAATATCAGAGGGGTAGCCGTGTTAATCTGTATCCACAAAAACAACGAGGAGTCTGGTGGCACCTTAAAGACTAGCAGATTTATTAGGGCATAAGCTTTCGTGGGTAAAAAAAACCCAAAAACCCCACTTCTTCAGATGCATGGAGTGAAAATTACAGATGCAGGCATAAATATACTCCACTCCCAGTAAGTGATGAGGAGGTGTCAAGTGGACCACATCCACCCTGACTGAATTGGCCTTGTTAACACTGGTTCTCCACTTGTAAAATAACTCCCTTCTCTTCATGCATCAGTATATTTAAGCCTCCATCTGTAATTTTCACTCCATGCATCTGAAGAAGTGGGGTTTTTGGTTTTGGGTTTTTTTTACCCACGAAAGCTTATGCCCAAATAAATCTGTTAGTCTCTAAGGTGCCACCAGACTCCTCGTATTTTAGGGAACTAAATGAGATTTTGATCATGGCACAAAATAGGAAAAGATCACTTATTGGCTCATTAATATTGATTTGAAGTCAGAGATTTCTTCCAGGCAAATGGTAATGAACCTTTTATTGAACTGAATTAAGAAATATGAAGGCTTTTAGGATTCCATGAAACAATTGCTGCTGTAATGGAATTTCTTAAAGGAATCAGAAATGTACAAACTCAAAATGTGTGAAAGATCATTGCATTTGAAAATATTACAGGTATTGACTTCCAGGTTTGAAATTATTGCATGAATCACTTCCAATTGATTAAAACAGTCTCATGCAAATGAGCATTACCAATTCAACTGTGAACACAGGACAGGGCTGCCCGGGGGGGGAAAGGGGGGGGTCAAGTGGGGCAATTTGCCCCGGGCCCCCAAGAGAGTTTTCACGGGCACGTCCTTCAGTGCCGCTGAACACACCCGGAGTGAAGAACCCGCCACCGTTTCTTCCGCTCCGGGTCTTCGGCGGCAAATTCGGCGTTGGGGGTCCTTCCGCTCCATGTCTTCGGCGAAGTGCCCCAAAGACCCGGAGCAGAAGGACCCCTGGCCCCCTGAATCCTCTGGGCGGCCCTGACACAGGATAGCAGTAATGTAAAGTGCTTGTTTTGTTACATGGTTTCCTCAACAAAGTGGCATCATAAATCAGTTTGGAAAAGAATTACATAAGAATTACTCCTGAAGGACCAAAGTCAAGAAAGGTTCACGCTGAGGGTTAACAGTTTTAACAACATCCTTTTATGTATCTGTACATTAACTGAATTTCAATATGAACTTTAGCTACCCCCAGAGAAGCATGGTTTATAGAACTCACAAAGCTTGTATGTTAAAAAAAGATAGACCTTATAGATCCAGGTTTCAGAGGAACAGCCGTGTTAGTCTGTATTTGCAAAAAGAAAAGGAGTACTTGTGGCACCTTAGAGACTAACTAATTTATTTGAGCATGAGCTTTCGTGAGCTACAGCTCACTTCATCGGATGCATACCGTGGAAACTGCAGCAGACTTTATATACACACAGAGAATATGAAACAATACCTCCTCCCACCCCACTGTCCTGCTGGTAATAGCTTATCTAAAGTGAGCACTACTGCATTAATACTGACATTGTTACTAGCATACTACAGACCTACACAGAAGTTGTTTTCCTAGATTTACCATCATTGCTGCCAGTAGTGCCGCTCTACCAGTGGTCGCAATGGTGGGAGTGCTTGGGCAGATAAGATTCTACAACCACCGTGCGAGGGTTTCGATGATATGATGGCTAGAACACTAGTGCAGACTTGGTGCCACTGCCCGCACCAACTGAGCTGCACCAGTGGCAGCAAGGGTGAGAAAAATGTTAGGAAATTATATCTCGTGTAAACATACCACAGGTATCTGTGGTCAACTTTTACTATTCTCTCTATATTGAGCAATGAAGTCAAACGCTATTGCTTATTCCCAAATTAAGTGAACACCATGATTAATACACCAGAAAGTTGTAATGCTTTCACAATACTGGTTAATATGGTGAAAGTAGTACAGCCTCCTTAGAGTGGATGCAGTTACATCAGTATGAAGGTGCTTTATACAAATATAGCTATTCCCATATGGGTAGGGGAATAAGCTATTCCAATATAAGGCACCTTTATATTTGTATAAGTTCATCCATACCACAGGTTAGTATGCATAATTACACTGATTAAAAAATCCTAAAAACACACACACCCCGACAGACAGTTATACCCATACAATTTGCAAATGTACATCAGGACTAAGATAATGATGATTGTGCTATTGTATTAGCATCTAACACAGAACAAATTGATAGAGTGAAATAATCTTACAGACTGCAAATTTTTCAGGGCAAGGGCTGCGTCTACCTGTGCATTGGTACAGTGCTTAGTTTAATAGGGCCTCAAATCTTGAGTGGAGCATATAAGTAAAATAACATTCTAGGCAGACAATGAAAAGCCCTCACAAATTTGTACATTCATCTTATTCCCAATAGATTCTGAGAGAATAAAAATAAAACTAGAAGACTGCTCCAGCAAATCGTAACTTGTTGGAAATATTTCTACCTACCTAATAATGGACTTTTCTGTTTTCTCTTCTTTATCAGCCTGGCCAGGTTCTTCCTCAGTCTTGCCAGCAACATCTTGGGCCTTTATTCTTGCATCTCTCCGTGGCGGTCTGATCTGCAGATTAGGCGGACCACGTCGGACGTGAAGTGGCTTTGAGCGTTTCTAAGAAAGAAAGGCAAAAGTAAATCAAGATGCATATGATCTACTGCATGGGTGGCCAATACGCAGTCCCAAAGCATCCCAGAGTTGTACAATGCAATCTGAGAACACCCTCATTTTTAATATAGAGATGTAGTGCAGGGGACTACAGGTCACAGCATGCAACCTTTCATCTCAACCAGACAGGCCGAGGAGGAGGGAAATCATGTTTGAATTTTTTACCTCTGGTAAAACTGTACATAGCTCCTTGGGTAACAGTTATCGGTGAAGATATTAGGCTACTTGTATCATTACCAGGTATATACATAACACAGAGCACTGTCAAAAATGTGAACTTATTATACACATATATATAACTAGGTGCAATAATTGATACTAGTTATAACAAAGAGATGCATTACTAAGGGCTTACACATGCAGAAGTGATCCAATATCAGGAATTATTTTTCGTAATAGATGCACATTATACAAATTAGAAGAAAGCACCACATGAGAGATCATTTTCATTTAAAACAAAGAATCCTAAATTCCCTGAACTAATTGTGCGAACAGGAGAATGTGTGTGGAAACACAAACACACACACACGCACACTTTAAACAAAGTTCCTTTTTCCTATCACTCCCCCAATGAATTTATTGGAAACCAGACAGTTTGTATGACCCGTTAGGAGTGTATCCATAAAATAAATAACTTTCACACACCTGCAGAGCATCTCAGAGTTAGAGAGCTACTAGATTTATTATTATTTCCACCTCTTCTGGGAAGCTGTTGCAGTTTACCAGAGATGTTGACTATCCCCTGCCTCATATTCAACTGTGCACACTCTAGCCAGCCACAGAGCCTGGGGGCTGCTCAAATTTCCAGGACTGAGGTTTGGAGAGCTCCACAGCAGGTCAGAGCACATATTGCTGAATGAGAGGCAGGCAATGGTGGGTATGCCTGGGCCTAGGCCAAGCACAAGCAGATTCCTCAAGATAGTAAGATGGAGCCTAGAATACCAGGTCACAAAAGCCTGAAGTATCAGCACTGACAAGCACACCAGTGGTTTAGGAAACATACTGAACACAAGTTCACCATTAAATAAAGCCCACATGATGTCAACTGAGAATTCCAGAAATATCCTACCCCCACCTCCCAAAATGCTTTCACTGAGTATTAGTGGTCCTATTAGACAGCTGACTAGCTCCTTCAGACTGAGCTAAGAAGAGAGTTCTCAGAAATCAGAGCAATTCTCTTCTCTTTAAGTCTATGGATACATACAAAAGCCAGAAATACTACACTGGAACCAAAGGCTTTCTTGAGAGTTGACTTCTCTACCTATAGGAAATTAATTCTTATAACAGGCCTTCGTTTCTTTTTCCATTACAGCTGTTGGAATTAAATGCTATTTGCAGCTTTCACAAACACTAGGGTTAAGAAGAACATTTTTCCTTGCAATACCTGAAGTGAAAGCTCTGGGTAGTTAGCATCTGCTTTCTGTGGTTCTGGTAAAACAGCTGGATTTGCTGGTTTCAATCCAGGGATTTCTGGTTCTGTCTTCTGATCTTCTGCTGATTTGTTCGTTAGACCTATAAGGATAAAATACATTCAGTACACATCAAACTACCTGGCATAAGGAATTAACACTTTCGATGCTAGCTGGAAAACTAACTCTCCCCACACCAAATGTAGACAAGCACAAAGGTAGTCACCTGTATTTTATATGCAAGTGATACCTTTTGTGTGTGTGGGGGGGGAAGCTACAGATCTTGCATGTCTAACTGAAAGTGTTAAACTACAAGCCTCCATAATAATAGATTTGGGGTTTTTTTGTTGATTTTTTTAAAAACAAAACAACTTTTCAATGCTGAAAGAAGACAGTGTTGAAGGCAAACTTGGACCTCTTTCCCTAAAGTGCTTAAAAAGAGTTCAACCCTTCTGCATAATCACAATGGAGAGAGAATTGTTTTTCTTATCCTCTAAGTCAGTGGTTCTTAACCTTTACTGCAGCCTGCACCCCTTTGGTTCTCAAAATATGTTCTCGCATCCCTTATCAAAAATCGTTGAAGTAGGTCAGTTCTTTAAACCTAGATATATTTTTTGTTTGTATATTACAGTAATCGTTAAAAAATGTATAATGTTAATAAATACATAGGTTTGATGAAACAAAGTAGTTGTACTTATGTGCCTGTGCTTAATTTGTGTTTTCAATGATGTACCTTCTAAAAAAATCTGGCCTGTCTCGCACCCCCAGAAATGTCATCTCGCACCCCCAGGGGTTGCGTGCACCCCAGGTTAAGGACCACTGCTCTAAATCTTTAGGTTTGGGCTGTTTTATTTATTTTTTAAACTAAGTACTAAGGATGTTTGCATCCTCTAAACTCACTATTAGCCAAAACAAAATGTCACTTCAGATATTCAGGATAAAGAACCAAAATGAACTAACTGTTATTCAAATTTTTTAAAAAAGGGATGGATAGAGTAATTTCTACCTGAACATTTGCAATAAAATGTATGTAACATTAACTAAACTTCTGAATAAAATATTTTTTTCTGTCAGACATTGAGCACATCTTGCAAAAATGTAATTACAAAAACTAAGAACATGCAATCTTTTAACCACTTATGACATTTATTAGGGCAACCTTAAACTGTATGGAAGACGTACTTTTCCACTGTTCCCCCATGTTTGTGTATGAAATGACTCCACAGACTGCCAAGAAGGCAAACAGGAAGAGAATTACACTCCGCTGTAGTCGAGAAAGCTGCTTCCATTTCTTTGAGAAAAAAAATAAATAAGAGGAAGACTCTTTAGCATGACAAGTAGAAAGCCAGCCCATTGCTGTCAAACCAACCAACCCATGGAAGTTCTTTTAGAGTAATAAATATGAAATTGATTATGTGTAGGTTTTACACTGTTTCCTATTTTGAAAATCGATCAGTTACTTTGTCATGATATGGAAAGTAGCAACGCAGCATGCTAGCATATGGTAGGCTGGGTCTGAGAACAAATCAGGGCCAGTCACTGGCGGAGTCTGTAGAGCCTAGAGAAATTGCACTGTGATAAATATCCTGGACAGAACATCAACTACAGTACAAAGATCTTTACAGCAACCTTTCACTGGCTGATCTATGCATCTGCCCGGATGTGGTTCTGGAAAAGAGCCCAGAGGCTCCTCCCTTCTGGCCAGCGAAGTGTACATAAGGGACGTGCAAAGCAGAAGAAAAATAGGGGTGAGGAGGAGGGGGGAGAGAGAATGAAAAAATTATGACAGGTTTCAGAGTAACAGCCGTGTTAGTCTCTATTCGCAAAAAGAAAAGAAGTACTTGTGGCACCTTAGAGACTAACCAATTTATTTGAGCATAAGCTTTCAATAAAGTGAGCTGTAGCTCACAAAAGCTTATGCTCAAATAAATTGGTTAGTCTCTAAGGTGCCACAAGTACTCCTTTTCTTTTTGTGAAAAAATTATGTTAGTGCATCAAAGCAGGAAACTTAAAAATAAAATAAGCATCTCAAGCTGGATAGGAAAAGCAAGACACTCCACCTCGGACAATCACTCTTTGTGAAACTTATATAAACTAGAGACTGCCACCAAAAAAAGACAACCATCCACATTCAGCTTTGGGAAAGTTCAGTAAACCAACAGCATAATTAACAAGAAAGTAAAACAAAAGACTGTTCACAATTAAGGACAATCCGATGAAATCAGCAGCCAGAGAAGAGTAAAAACCAGCCTTCTATTATATATGTTCAGTAAACTGCATTTAGTGATAGCATTTTGGGTCTTGTCTATTTTAGTGCCCTCACACCATACATACCATTTCACTCTTTTTGTTTTGTTTTTTGTTAAACCAGTGTAACAGCTTGCTGCTAACTTTTTGCACTAAGAAACCCTTCCCACACTGGGCAAAGCTGCATTTGGGCACATCCCTCAGTTTCCCAGAAGCTCTTCTGCCCCACGGTACTTCCCACAAACCTTGCACTCTACTCCTACCAGGGTTGAGACACCAGGTGCATCCACATTGTTGCAAGCAACCATAGGCCACAAACATTTCAGTGAAGACTGACATGTCAACACACTTCACTCTGCCAAGCGGCATAGACATATGTTCCCTGTTATTCCCTAAACTGCTGACTGTACAGCAGAGGTCCCGAACTGTGGGGCACACTGCCCTAGGGAGGGAACAGAGGAACATTTGGGGAGGGGGCAGCTGGGGCCCAGGCCAGCCAAGGCCCAGGCCAGCCTGGGGAGTTGGTGGGGGGGCATAGAGGGAAATCCATCCAGCTCTGTTCCTGGGCCCAGTCCCCTTTACTCCTGCTTATGTTCCCTGCTCCTGGCTCCGGGGGCAGGGAATCACAGACGAGGTGTGTGGGGGGGTGGAGGTTGAGGTAAAAAGTTTGGGGACCACTGCTGTACAGTGATCTTGTACATCCCTCCCCCAATAAAAAGGGTGAGATGTTGATATTGCTCAATCTTCTATGTCACCTTTTATCACAACTACCTCCTGGGCTACCTGTATCCTTATCCCCAATGTGGTTCCCTAGGACAAGTACAAACGCGGCAGCTCACCAGGATGGAAAGGGAATGAAAGTTGGTAATGCTTTCTCCTCATTTCTCTCCTGTCTCAAGAGGAAGATGAAGGTGTGTAACCCCAGACCACTACCCCCCCCCCCCATGAGCATGTTCACCAGCATCCTACCTCTCTTCCTTGAGATGGGTAGGATAAAAGGCGAGGGGGACGGGACCGGATGACATCTAGTGTCCAACCTGCCCCTCTAGGCATATCCTACCTCTTTTCTTTAGACTGGGAAGAGAGAGATGTTGCCCTCTGTCACCCACCTTCCCTATGCAGGGGTGCCTTATGCCCTCTTCCTCACTATCTAGGGTGCCCTTTCGGGGTGGGGGGGAATGGGCACTCCCTCACTGATACTGCCACTGCCTGTCCTCCGCACCCCTGCCTCAGTGTCTGAAATACCCCCAACCCTCCTCCACATCAAGTGGGGAGCACCACTCCCATAAGGGCTCTGCCACTCCCCCCCCCCCCACCTTTCAAACAGTGGGGGGACTTTCCCTCTTCCTTTGACTGTAGGGGAAAACACCCCCTCCCCCAGCAGGGTCTCCCCTCCCCCAGCGTCCGCCCTCTCCAGCGGGGGAGGGGGGCGGGGCTACTAGCCCCCCCCCCCGAACCTCCAGCAGGGGGCAGCGTCTCCCTCACCCAGCGGAGGGGCAGGACCCCTCACCGTCCATGAGACCCCCTTCAGCAGGGAGGGGGCGGGGCGGCCACATCACCTGGGCCCCTCCCCTTCCCGCAGGCCCCCCACCCGGGCCAGGTCCCTCCCTTCCCCTCACCCTCCAGCAGGAGCGCCTCCTCCAGGCCTTGCTGTTGTTGTAGCCGCCTGCCCCCGCCGCCTCCCCGAGGCTCAGGGTCACGGAGATGAAGTCCCGTCTCGGCGGCGGCGAGGCCGAGAACATAACGGCGGCTTCAGGAAGCAGAGCCCGGCCCGCGCACCGCTCCCAACCGCCAGCCGCCGTCCGCCCCAACCGCCATTATCCTGCCTCCCGGCCGCCGCGGAGCCGCGCCAGACGAGCCCGCTTCCGGGTGCCTCTCTAGCCTCACGCCCTGGCGGGACTCTATGGCGCCCCTAGCAACAGCCTCCCGCTTGTGTGCCTAGCAACGCCCGGCCTTGGCTGCCATGCGGGCACCAGAGATGCCTTGCTCCCCGTTATCGCTCATTGCGCCGCTGCCAGGGGGAGCAAACCTCACTGTGAAACAGCTCCCCCGCCCCAGACATCCACCAAGGTGTAGGGCCTTTGAAATGCAAAAAAACAGGACAACCCAGCACCCTCCCCGGCAAGGCAAGCCTACCACAATCCCAACCACAAGGCAACTCCGCAACCCCCCTTCAATAGCCACTGCTAGGCTCCAGGGAGATAACGCATAGAGATAAGAGATCAGTAACATCGCACGCCTCCTCACTCTCGCGTGACTCCAGCCCTCTCTCACACGCGTGCCGCGCACTTACGTGTTGGTGGCAGGCAGCTGCTGGATTTCCAACAGTTTTGATCTGTTATTGCTTAAACGGTGGAGGTGGGAACACTGCAGCATCTTCAGCTGGACGCAGAAACTTTTAACACTGGGTATCCCAGAGTATTGTGATAATCATGCAGATCTTTAGACCCAATTTAAAAAGACCCAGCCAATTAAATGGTTTTTCTGACAAAGCCATTAAAAAACAATAACTGGCTAGGCCAGTCAAGTCAAATACTGGTCAGGTGGTAACCCAAATCCACCAGCCAGGCAGGGCACTTAGTGCAGAATTTGATCACCCTTTGGCCACAGGTAGGGATCATTTCACCTGTCATCACAATGCAGCCACAGTGGGGGTGAGGCACAGCAACTGGTTTACCAAGGCCACTTCAGCGAATGTAGCTAGGGTTACCAACTTTGGTTGGACAAATTCCTGGAGGTTTCATTGCATTAACCTTTAATTCCTGGAGACTCCCGGACAATCCTGGAGGGTTGGCAACACTAAATGCACCTCAACATGCAGCCACAGGGAGCCCCTAGGACACAGGGACCCCACCAAGCTCCAGTGTGAAATGTTTCAGGGCACACCTTGAGGGGTCTTGCGTGCAAGCTCTGCAGCAAGAACACCTAGTTCTTGAAAAGCATATTGACTCTTGAGGCCATTGGGGAAGTAGGGTGCTCTCCTTTGATGACCTCCCTGACTTGTGCACATTGCAAATTTCTCCCACTCCCACCAGTATTTAGCAGGAAACCTCCACGCACTCTCTCTAATGTCCTTCACAAACACACTCGTCCTGAACACATTAGTGAATCCCCTCCCACAAGGCTGATATTGCACAGGACTTTGGAGCAAGGAGGATCACACACTAAATCATGGCTCATGCAGCTAGGGAGAACAATCTCATAGGTTAAATTTGCTTACGTTGGCACTGTGTTTAACAGTTGCACACAAGGCTATGTAAGAGTTTAGCACAGGACATGGTGAAGAAGAATCATAGTTAATTGAAACTGCAGGGAGAATGGAGGGGGATAAGATGTAATTATGTGAATTGGGATATGCTAGCTAAATTGTCCCAATATCTGTAAGAGAGACAAGGTAGGTGAGGTCATATCTTTTATTGGACAAACTTCCATTGGTCAGAGAGACAAATTTTCAAGCTACAACACAGAGATCTTCTTCAAGTCTGGGAAACAATCAGAATGTCACCGTTAAATACAAGGTGGAAGAGATCATTAATAATGCTAAACTAACATATTTCAATTTATGTTAACATATTACTTATGCTAAACAATCTGTTCCACCTCGTATTTAGCTCTGACACTCTGATTAAGTTTCCCAGATCTGCAGAAGAACTCTGTATAAGCTCAAAAGCTTCTCTCTCTCACCAACAGAAGTTGCTCCAGTAAAAGATATTCTTCTTCTAGTGATTGCTCATATTGATTCCGATTAGGTGTGTGCGCACGCCACATGCTACAAACTTTTCACGAGAAAGTTTTTCCTTAGCAGCTCCCGTCAGGTCGGCTGTGGAGCCTCTTGGAGTGGCGCCTTCATGGTGCTGAATATATGCCCCTGCCGACCTGGCCCCTCCTCAGTTCCTTCTTACCGCCAGGGATGGTTGTTGGAACTGCAGTCGCTTGTCTAGCAAATGTTTCCCTTAGCGTACTTTCTGATAGTTGTAGTTTAGCTCTTAGTTAGTTGAATAGTTAGTGTATATGGTGCATATAGTGGTAGATAAGGTTTGGGAGTGGGCTTTTTTCCCAATCCCTAAACTCCCCTCCGCCCCCGCCCTTGGGCTCTGGGGCATGCCATGAGGCCAAAGGTTTAAACCTTGCGGAGTCTGCAGCAAACCTATGCCAATGAGTGACCCCCATCACTCGTGTCTGAGGGAGGCACAACAGACTGACAAGTGCAAAATCTGTATAGCTTTCCGCCCTAGGACGAAAAAGGAGCGAGACTTCTGCCAGAAGCAACTGCTCATGGAATCTGCTCTTCGCCCCCAGCCTGCCACGAGCTGTCAGGACCTGGCCCCGAGCATGTCCATACAGAGCGCCCCGGCACATGACACAGTGCCGAGGAAAGATCTAGTCTAAGAGACCCTCAGCACTGGTGCTCCTCGGCACCGCAAGCTTCAGCCCAGCACTGCTCCCACTTGCCTGTGCTGCACGAGCACTATAGAAAGACCGACAGGGGGTGCTCCCCGGTACTGAAGACAGCGGGACCAGCATACGCATCACCAGTGCTTCCCGCGAAGGAGCACTTGGCATCCAAACAGCAAGAGTCAGAGCAGTCGACTTCAGTTTCCCTGGGGGGGACTGTTGAGTCAAGTGCCCAGTGACTCCCTGGAGCAGTGCCAGGTAGAGAAGCTAGAGCTGCCCTCCACCCCGGACACTTTTGAAGCCACTAGAGATCTCATTGCCATGATATGGTACCCCAACCCCCGGCGGTCAGGGACAAGCCTCCAGTGCTGTATCGTCTGGCACCATCTAGAGGCAAGCCAGCCATGATAAGGCGATTACCATCACCTGTCCGGCACCGGTCACCTCGGCGCCGCTCCTGATCACTGTCGCCGAGATACTGTTCTCAAGCACCGGGTTCTGGACATGCTCCCCGGCACCAGCAGGGAGACGCTCCCCTTCCCTGGCACCACGAGAGGAGCGGCACCAATCCCTGCACCAAGGGGGGAGCAGCACTGATCCCCAGCACCATACTCTCTGCACCAGTCCCTAGCACCGATCCCTGACACGGGCATCTCGGCAGCGGTCCCCAGCACAATACCCTTCGGTGCCACCGTGGCCATCACGGTCGAGATCGGTCTCGTCCGACTCCTTCTATTCTCGCTGCTGCAGGCACAGATCACACCGGCAACGGAGGGAGACACCACCTGCATGGCACCCCCAGTGGCAGCCCCCCAGCGCAATGACCCTTTTGGACCTCCTGGGTTTACCCTCAGGCCCAGGGCTCCCTCACCAGGGACTCCTACTTGGTGGCCTCCAAGACCCGAGCGCTTCAACCATCTAATGACAGGCCTATGACTCGGGGATCCGAGATGATGTTGGCACAAGCCCCATCGCCTGTCCAGGTTGCCGCCAAGTCAACTCCAGTGCAAGTCACACTGCAGGGCCAGGCTACTGCCACTGCAACAGCGGTTGCCTCAGAGGCTCCCAGCACTGACCAGGAGGAGATTAGAGAGCTGGAGGGTCAGGAGGACCCCATGCCACCTGTGGCCTCCTCATCTTTGTCCCTGGACAAGGCGGTGGCAGGGGCTTCTACTTCGGGTCCTCCACTGATTGACCATTGGGCCTACCAGGACCTTCTGCAGAGGATCACCCATAACATGGGGTTGCAGGCAGAGGAGGTTGTCGAACCTGAGGACTCCATGGTTGCCATCCTCACACCAGAAGGCCTATCCAAGGTAGTTCTGCCCCTGATAAAAACAATCCAGAGCAACATTAAGTCTCTGTGGCAGACCCCTGCCTCCATCCCACCTACCACTAGAGGCGTGGAGCGCAAGTACCTCATCCCTTCTAAGGGGTACAAGTACTTGTTCTCACACCCGCAGCCATGCTCTCTGGTAGTGGCCGCGGTTAATGAGAAGGAGAGGCAGGGGAAGCAGGGGCCAACCCCTAAATCCAATGAGTCGAAAAGGATGGACCTTTTTGGAAGAAAGGTCTACTCTCTGCGGGGCCTGCAGCTGAGGATAGCGAACTAGCAAACTATCCTCAGCAGATATAACTTCAACTCGTGGACCTTCATGGGGAAGTTTAAGGAGCTGATCCCAACAGACTCCAGAGCTGAGTTCTCAGCAATTATTGACAAAGGGAAGGCAGTGGTGTGGATCTCCTTGCAGGCCTCGCTAGACTCTGCGGACTCTGCTGCCTGCACCCTTTCCTCCGGGATAGCCATGAGGAGGAGCTCATGGCTACAAGCGGCCGGGCTGCCCCCTAAGGTGCAGCAAACCCCACAGGACCTACCATTCGAAGACGTAGGGTTATTCTCGGAGCAAACAGACTCCAGGCTGCACAGCTTAAAGGACTCCTGGGCGACTATGAAGCCGTTGGGTATGCACACGCCGGCAACCCAACGAAAACATTTCAAGTCCCAACCACAACAACAGGATTTTTATAGATGTAGGGGCAGGAATGGCAGACACAAACCCTCCCATCCTCCTCTTGGGCAGGGACAGGGCCCAATCAAACCTTCCTTGGGCTCAAAGCAGGCCTTTTGAAGGTCCACCTGAGTACAGAGCACCTGTCTCAGCACCGGATCCTTCCTCGTGTTTTTTGAACCATCTATCCCACTTCTACAGTGCTTGGTCCCAAATAACTTCGGACTGCTGGGTTCTTCGCATGGTAGAAGTGGGATATTCTCCCCAATTCTGCTCCTACCCCCCCCCATCCCTCTTCAGGGACCCCTCTCATGAGCAACTCCTTATCCAGGAGGCGCAGATGCTCCACGCCATAGGAGTGGTGGAGGAGTTTCCTCAGGAGCTCAGAGGCAAGGGATTCTATTCCTGATACTTCCTAATCCCCAAAACCAAGAGGGGTCTCAGACCTATTTTAGACCTGCGAGGAC